GGCCAACAAAAGCATCGCGTGGACCAGGGCCTGCAGTGGCATGAAAATGCAACAATAGTTGATCAGATTGCAAGGATGCAAATCATCTCCTGAAAGTGAAATAGCTTCCATTTCGCGCCTGGGCCAGGAATCAGATTGAGTGGACTAGGCCTGCGACGAGCAGGCATCTGATTTGGTAGGTGTGATCTCTCAAAGGGACAGGAATAAGGCAAACCCACTATGGAAGGGGGGTTGGGTTGACCAAGATAGAAGGGAGTAGCAGTATGTGCATACTGCCAAGGGACCCACAAAAGGCACTGTTACTACTTAATCAATTAGGAGGGTTAACTTGGCAAGGTGCGAGGTCGCAACGACCAACTTCCTAGCTGAGTATATAGGGGGTTGATGCGGTCTATCGCTGGCGTCCTTGTATTCTGGGTGCGAATTTTTGGGGACAAGAGGTCTGAGTTGGATATGATTGGCTATACGGTGAATGCAGGCAGGACACTAAGCCCAATGCGGATTATAAAGCTCTTGGCTAGAGAAGGGGCGCTGATTGGCCAACGAGCCGTCCGGATTCAGAATCCTAGCAAAAATAGGTACGGAGTAGCTCGGTTTATGACGCTCCTTCAGGCAAGGTAAGACTTTACCCTCTGTCGTCGAAGAAGTAGTGAAGGAGACTATTGATTTTATATGTGTTAGACTGAACGAAAACTCCTGGCCAGATGGATAGCCAAGGACAGTAAGCCTGTACCAGACACATACGAAGACCTGCCTGCCATGAGGGATTTTGCTTTGTACATGCATCAATGACCAGTCACAAACTCCTGTTTCAACTCCAAACTTAATAATGCGAGCGGGAGGAGGGCGCGAGTCTGGATCCATATGTTCCTTCACACATCCTTGGTCCTAACCGACTCTCTACGGGAGGACCACGAGAAGCTCACGAGTCATGACCTCTGCTGCTTGTGAAATCAGACCATCTGGTTGAGCACTGACACTGTACGTACATGCGGAAGTTCTCCGTCTGAAGAAGTAGTTGGATAGGTATTCTCTCACTCCAAGCCTAGGACGGTGGCTTGACTGATACGAGTTCGCTGCGGCCAACTGAGTCAATCGTGCTTTCAAATTAGTCATCGATTGAGCTAACTCTTTTTCTCTCCGTCTGTCAATTGCCAGGACTGTCAGTTTGTCAGTCTAGCCAGTAACCGCTGCCAGACTGCGACTACTATCGAATGCTGTGCATCAGGGTCGTGCCAAAGATGAGGATCATCCAATCAACATGATAATTGTACAATCGCATCTTTCATGCTGATCAATCTTTGAAAAATCCCAGTGTCATCGACAGGTCGGAGATTTTCTCAGCCCACCCTCGCGTGGCCTTGTTTAGTGTCTGTAGTCACAGACGACCTTCGAATTTATTAGACGTACCACTTCAAGACTAAACTGCGTATCAGTGCGTATAGAGTCTCAGCCTATTTTGGGACGAGTCCTCCGTTCTCAGCATGTGCCATTGTGGCATTCTTCTCAGACGTCTTCTCAGCCTGTCGTATCGCTTGACTCGTTTTTGAGGCCGTGGCCAAAACTTTGGAATCCCAGCAGGTCGGTTGATTGGCCACATTTCCCTGCAGAATGACATGATTGGCTTTCTGGACGAGCCCGAGTGGAGCTCCAAACGAGTTCTCGCTAAAAGTTGGGCCAAACGGGACACAATAGTGGACACTATGAGCCAGGTCAGAACTGTAATGGTGCTCTAAACGGACAGGTGGAAATGAAAAGTAGTGGCCCTAAACCCTTTTCATATAATGCAGGATGCTTAACTTTCTTCCCCCCTGTACTCCGTAATCACTAACAGGGATCCCCTTCCCCTATCTGCCCGGTTCTCCATTCTGCACAACCCATTTTTCTGCAGCGCCTGGATATTAATCCCGTTCATGTAGTCGATCCCTAGCTGGGGTGTCTTTATCGAATGTTCTTGCTTCATCGACAATCTATCTGCACACGAAACAATAATTCTCCGACAACGCATCGATTGAACATCCCACAAGCCACCTACTGCAAGAAAGATACTGCGCAGTCATGGGCCGTTTGGTTCCACGGGCACAGCTCTCAAGCCGTACCTAAAACTCTTAAGGTTGTCGCCTGCCATGTAACGTGGCGTTCCTGGAGGATGGCATCGCTTGTTTCCGAACCGGACTCGATCTAATAATTGTTACGTAGACCTGTCTCGAACCATTTAATCACTCACGGACCCAGCTTGACGACGACACCTCTGGCCCCGATTGGCCTGCCCGTCGAGATACTCTCCGGGCTCTTGGGATCGTTTCGTCCGCAACAGCCGGGCCAAGGCCATATCCAAGCGTTGCCGAATAAAATCTAATCAATTAACGGCACTAACTAGGAACCATATCTACTCCTCCTGGCAATGAATTACTCTTTCTCGCACCCCTTCCATCATAGCATCCATTCACTCCTTCCTTTCGCTTCGACTGTCGTTCTTTTGTTGTTTGTACCCAAGTCCACGAAATTCTACCAGATATCCGATCTCTCCACGATGGTGATGAAGTTTACTCGGGGTATTTGAGCCCTTCCACGACCCACGTCCAACCGCGGACGATCATCCTTGACAGGGATCGACATTCATTCACAGATCTTCCACCCCCCCCCCAGCTATCTTTTATTTCCTATTCCGGATATGTGACAGCAACCATGCTGCTCGACATCAACGCCTCCACCGTGTCCACCACAGGTGTGCTGTGCATGCTCCTGTGTTTCATTGTCAAGCTCTTTGAGACCTCGCCTGTGCCCAAGGACATCCCATGGGTCCTGAGTAAGAAGGGTTTCCTTGGCCGCGCTGCTGAGCGCCTCCTCGGCGTCAACCCTATCGGCTTCATCCAAGAGGGATATGAACAGGTGGGTTTTCTATTTTCCATGCCGTGCTATGGCGCATGATGTATACGGAAGTTGGGGTGGACTGCTGACCTCGTTGCCTGCAGTACTCCAAGAATCAAGAACCCTTTGTGATGCCTAGTGTCAATGAGGGCGATGAAGTCATTCTTCCCAAAGAGCACACCAACGCCGTTCTCTTCGCCAAGGAATCCGAATATAGCTTCAAGGCTCACATTAGCGATTTCTTCCAGCTCAAGTACACCAGTTGGCCGCTTGCTTTCGCCGAGAGATATGAGTTCTTCGTCAAGTTGGTCAGCAAGGACCTGACCGACACCCTGAAATCCAAAGCCGTCGCCGAGTCCCTCGCCGAGGAGGCGCGATCCTGCCTCTCGGATATCTGGGGCGAGGACACGGACAACTGGGTCGAGGTGCCCCTGTACTCTTTTATGGAGAAGGCCGCGGCTCGGATGGTCAATGTGCTGGCCATCGGGCCAGGCAGGAGCCATGATACCAGCCTCCTCAACGCCATGACCAACTGCTCCAATGCCATTGTCTTTGGGGCCAACGTCATCAAGGCCTTTCCTTCATTCCTTCACCCGTATGTCCTGCGCCTCAACGTTGATACGATTTCCTTCTAACTGCAAACAGCATTATCGGTCCCATCGTAGGACTCGTGAACAGATGGCAAGAGCGAGTGTTCCACGCCCGTATGAAGCCTATCATCGAGGCCAAGATCAAGGAGCAGAAAGACGCCTATAACTCGGCGTCCCTGCAAGAAAGCCTCAGGAAAAACGTACGTCCCTTTAGAGCTGACGTCATTTGATGTGTCTGACATCGTCCAGGGGAGCCTTCTCGACTTGCTCATCCAAGCTGGCCTGCGCAGCAAGTGGCCTGTGGAACTCGAGACCATGTGGCTGGCCTACCGAATCTTCATGATCAACTTCCCCGGTGTACATACCAGCGGTATCTCCGCCACGAGCGCCCTTCTCGACATCCTCAGTTATCCCACTGAAGAAGAGTTCATGGATATGCTGCAAGCGGAAGTCGAGCAGATTGCGGCCACCTCGGACGGCTCATGGTCTGCCGCTGACTTGGAACGAGCCAGTCTGTTAGAAAGTGCCATCAAAGAGTCTCTGCGCTTCAACGGCGTCAATGCCGTCTCGCCTACACGAAAGGTATTCTTGAATTCATCTTCATGCTCTGAGACGCGCTAATCCGATACCCCAGGTCGTCGCACCAGAAGGCGCCATCCTCCCCAATGGTGTTTATCTCCCCTACGGGACCAAAATCGGTATCCCCCAGTACGCCGTCCACCGCGACAGCGACCTCTACCCTAACCCCAACGAATACAACCCCTATCGCTTCTACAAAGAAAACGCCACTCCCGAGGAAAGACGGCAGAACCTCATGACCAACACCAGTGACACATACCTAGTCTTTGGCCACGGCCGCCGACAATGTCCCGGCCGCTGGCTCTTCGCACACATCTTCAAACTCCTCATCGCCGAGATGCTCCTCAAATACGAAATTAAACCCTTCGCTACCCGCCCCAAAATCCACAGTAAGTCACTTGCAAAAGTTACTGGCAATCCTATCGTGTCATGCAATGCTAACAGCAACAGGATGGGGACGCTTCCAATTACCACCTCTGTCAGTAAAACTGACGGTTCGACGCAAAAAGAACACGATCGCTGTTTATAATTGATTCCTCTCATAATACTTCGCCGGCCCCCTTCGTTTTTGGCCAGCCTCCGTTCACTGTATATATTTCGTTTTTCGTGTTGTATAGCGACGTCGTTATCGATAGATGGATACCAGCCAATTGCAATTGGACACCAAGATTTCCTTTTTGTCATGTCGGTCATGCCTTTCTTTGGATTCGGGGCGGATTCAGTCGATTATCTTACTTTGAGTATGTATGGCAAAAACTTTGTATATACCATATGCACAGTTGCTGTTCCCTTTATTTATTACTGGGCAATAGTCGGAATATGGAGGCATCCTGATACTCTTGAAGAGAGGTTATATTCCCGATGCTAACGCACTCGGCATCTATGAACAGAATCTAATAGAGTCGCTAATAAAAGAGATACAAATGGGTCATCCGGGTACAGGATGCAAGTGTCTAAAGGTCAAGAACCAGGTCCAAAATCACGCTCATTTTTGGGTCTTAATAACCGTATCACCTTAGCACTGAATGACGCCTGGTTAAAAGACCAACTACCTTGCAAATCGTGGATGTTTGCCTTGGGGAAGTGTTTTTCGAGCAGCTGGGCATGCTCGTGCGCCCGCCTTTCAATCAGTTCGACAGGATCACCAACATGCTCATCGAGATCTACGAAGCATTTAACAAGGAGCGACCCAAGCCTTGGAAACAAAGGCGCTTTGTAATCCTGGAGGTCTAGTACATAAAACTCCCCACCGAGAAAACAGGATTCGAGTCGTGGACAGCATTTCGCTAACGCTGCCAGGGAAGCTGATGTGACTGTACTAGGCAAGGCCTCAAGGGACAGGGTGTCCAGATCCGGTAGGCCACTAACCAGACGGTGAAAGTCATCATCACCGAACTCAGAGGCTCCCCAGCGAGGCTTGCGTAATCCATGTAGTCTTAAACTCGTCAGATTGCTGAGACTCCTCAGAGATACGAGGTCTTCCGGTACAATGACAATATCGCCATGGAAAGAGATCTCGAGGATTCGCAGTTCCGCCAGTTTTGAAAAAGGTCGTATGCTGACTTCTGTTTCCCGTGTATCCCAGTCCTCTGTTGATCTCAGCGTCACGCTGAGCTGAAAGACAGAGCCGAAAAGCTTGGCCATCGACGGGACTGCGTCTTGGCTGATCTCAATGTCTAATCTGTTTAACTGTGGAAAGGGTGATTCAACTGACAGCGCATCCCATAACAACTCGGAGGTAATTTGTTCCAAAGTCAACTGCTCGAGCGTTGAAGACGCAGCTAGAAACTCAATGACTTTGGAATCTGCCATCATGTGATCCTCCAGTTCATTGAGGCGCAGGCTCTCCAAATAGGGGAGACCCCTCAAAAACGTGAGCAAAACGGTCGGCGCGACGCCAGGACCGCAGCGCCAGAGACTGACCCTCCGCAGCTTAGGACATCGGTTTTGCACGTCAAGAAGGAAGTCGGCCGAAATGCTCCCGTCCAAGTGCAGCAGTTGAAGACCAGGGTTGATGAAGTGTGTCAGATACCGGCAGTCGGCGACAGGCTCGTAATCCTCCTCCAACGTGACCGAGAGCTCTTTTACATTATGGAACACTGAGTCTTTAAACTCCTCGTAAAGGTCTTTGGGGGATCCGTCCAGGTCAAGTTGCTGGATCAGAGGAATGTACACCCTGCGCCGATCCTTTGGGACTCTGGCGAGATAGAACTCATTCTGCGCCTGCCAGATGCGTGGAATGCTGAGATTGAAAAACCGTCGGTTGACCCGGATTACGGTCGAGAGCTCTAATATATGCATCTTGTCCAATATTGTCATCAAAATTTCCGGTGGAAGTTGATCCAAGCTGCGTGCCATTTTGGCGCAGGTTCTTCGAAGCGGGCAGTTTCGAGCTATCCAGTATAGTCTGAGAAGCAGGTAAGCCTCATGCTGGAGATTAGGAATCCTGAAAATTGTTTGCTATACAGGATTAATCCCGCTCACCATCAGTTGTATTCCCAATTAACACGTCCAGCGCGTCAGTCACGTGGTTATCTGTTCGTGTTTGGAGAATCCAGTTTCTGATTGTGGAGTTGACGTTCCTAGCTTCCGTATCTGGACCATTTGGGCTTGTCCAATTTCGCTCAATCAGTCAGTCTTTGGCGCAGCGCCTCGTTCTAGTCAAAACACAACACTATGGGAAATGCGTTCCTCAATGATTTGACTGATCGATATTTCGCAAGAGTTCCGATTATCCCCGAGGGAAACATTCGACCTTGAACGGAGCGAAATGATATGGTGAATATGATTAGGAGTAACTGATACTGTGAATTCTGCCATCAAATTGCATGGCGACTGCATTTGCTTTCCATCGTTGGCAGAGTCACTGAGTGTGTAGATTCGAGTGTCGCATGACTGTCACCTGGGGCGGTATCATCATCCACACAAAAATATTCGATTTTTTATATATAGTTTTTCAAATTGTTGAGTCATTTTTATATAAATTAATCTTATCTGTGCATATAATTTTATGAGTGTAGATGGTGTGGTAGCAAACTAATGTTTTTAAGTGAAACATATATTTTTTTGTTGTGGTGAGTTATATAGATGCAGAAGTGTATCAAATGCCCCTTACTGGGCGACAGAAAGCTAGACGGAACAAGAGGGTTAGTGAGGGCGTTGATGAAGTCCCTGCGCTCTCTTCATTGCAACCAGAGACAATTGCTAAATTTTAGATTTTTGATAGGATCCACGCTGACAAGTTGCCGAAGTGGCCACGGCCTGATACTAAGTCAATCATGAGGATTCAATGAGACAATATTGGCGCAATGTACATTATTCTTTGCCGAGGATGTCCCTCTTATTTGCATGTCAAGTATCAGGACGCTTAGATGATCAGACCGCTATTCTACCTTGCAGAGCGCCTCTGCATGGGGACGCCAGCTAAGATGATTTCCTGCGTCCTGTGACTCTTGTCGAGCTGCAGCTACTCAATCACCCAATGTATGTCCACCAGCAAGTGACGCAACTGAATGCTAGAACGTACAGTGGTGTAACGCTGCCATCCAAGCAGAAGACTGATTACTTATTGACTATCCCATTCTCGTCACTCCCATCAAAGGGAAAGGAATTTATAACAATCCTGAAAAACACACGCAGTTTAGAGTCCTTTCTACTCAATTTGCTTAAACCTCCTTTTGTTGAATATTCAACATTACAGCACATTGCAACATCTCAACCATGGCTGGAGTAGAATCCCTATTCAACAGCTTGGGGGCCCGTTATGAGGCCGCTTTTGGCATGGACAAGGAGCTGCAGAGGTTTATTGAGCTCGTGGCAAAAACCATCCCCCCTGGAAGCAGAACACTAGACGTGGGCTGTGGAACAGGCAAGCCTGTGTCTCACATACTTGCCTCTGCCGGCCATGAAGTTCACGGGATTGATATATCGGAAGAGATGGTGAAAATCGCAAAGTCCCAAGTTCCGGGCAAGTTTCATGTGGGTGATATGAAGACATATCAGCCATCGACATTGTTTGATGCAGTCTTTGCAATCCGATCTCTGTTCCAAATGTCGCCATGTGATATGTGCTCCATGGTTATGCGATTCTCACAGTGGATCAAAGTTGGGGGATATGTGGTTCTTGGAGTGACCCCCAGTACCTCCCTGGCTTCGAAAAAGGTGACTTATGATCCCACCTGAGATTGCGCTTGGATGCTAGATAAGCCGTGGATGGGGAATTATGTCAATGATTTATTCCTATCCGAGGAGCGTTGGTGTCAGCTCCTGCGAGAATCCGGCTTTATCATTGAAACAGAACCGGTTTCTTATCTTTTCTCGCCGGCCAGCCGGGAACATGCACCTGAAGCCCACTACATTGTGCTGGCGAAGAAGGTCGAACGGGAGCCGCTTTTGGGGCCATATCCCTTACCCAGGGGTCTCAAACCAAGGGAATTTCAGGAGCGTGAAAATCTCTTTGCTGATAGTCTGGTGAGCCAAGACCTGGAGAAATTGCTTGAAGATATAGGCGACAGTCCGGAGGTTTTATGTATCGGAAAGGACCTACTCAGTAAGGCTTCTGCATCTCCCGCMTCTCTCTCTTAAACTTTGATTCTGACGAATGATAGACGGATGTTTCCAACGCCATAAAAGTCGATTCGTCCACCTTGCGATTGAGGACTTACCGTTTGCCCCGAGAAACTTTCATACCGTGCTCGCCTTATGGCAGATGGATTATGTGTTGAATATGGAAAGAATGATTCAGGAAATGACCCGTGTAGTGGGTCGACCGAATTCGAAGATTGTGATTATCCAGGGAGGGCCGTATAACGAAGTTCTTAAACTTCTGGCTTCTGTCGCTCGGTCTCTCCCTGTTGGACACCAGGGGCATATTCTGCACTCGGCCATCGGCTACCTTACAGAATATGGATTCGGGGATATCAGTGTGCACCGTATCGACGCCAGCTAGAGTTCCAGGAAAAGGGCCTTCCAGAACGTTGCGCCACAGCTGCGGAGTTCCTGGCCGGCATTTGGCATAGACAGCATTCGCAACACGAAAGGATCAAGGAGGCACTCGTGGAACGGCTGCAACTACTTTTTCGAGCCGATGCTCACTTAATCTCTCACCGGATGGTTGCTGTTGTTGCGCGCCCGTCTCTGGTTCAAGGTGAATAACKAGGTCGGAGTCAGACATCCTAGTCTATTTCCGCAAGACCTGGGAAGCCTCTGCAACGTTTCTGCGGAGATTTTGAGATCCATCTAAAGCTAACTAGCCCAGTCTGCCGTGAAAGCTGAGCGCTCATGCGGTCAAGGTAACTGTGGTCCTTTGACTGATATCATAAGCGCAGACAATACCATAACAGACAGCATTTTTTTTTTCACCTGCTCCCAGTGATTCTAGTCATGAACACTACCCACATCTATCACTTCATTCTGACATAATGCTGCGGATCGACAGGTGGGCAACAACCAGCTTTCTCCCATGAACAACAGGACCAGAACTGCCGACACACCAACCACCAGTCCCAGCGCCCAAGCCATCGTAGTCCATCCGGCCGCATTTTTGATAAATCCGGCCAGAAATGGCCCAACAAGAGCTCCCGCAGACCAAGAGGAGTTCATGAGCCCATACCCCAGCGCTGTCGCAGCTGCCTGGTCCAGCCTCCCTGGAGTTTTTTTCTCCATGTCGCGCACCACGTCCGAGATCTCTACAAATAACGGAGTCATCGAGAACGTAAAACACAGACCGACGACAGCGAGCAACGTACAGAGAAGTACTTTGGATCCCATAGAGTCGTTCGCTACAAAGCGCAGAAGGATCAAGACCAGGGAGCCGATGGCAAATGCCCCGCTCACCATGTAGCGGCCGGCCCGCGCGTACCTGTCGCGGATCATCCCAACGGCCGGGTTGAGCAGTTGTGGGATAAATAATGCCAGAAATACCAGCCCCTGGGCCGACTGGTTCCAGCCAAACCGTTCCCGGACAAAGAGCGCCAGGACGCTGTCGAACGCTGTCATGATCATGGCAGTCACCATGCAGCCCCACAGAACCACCCAAAGGCGGGGACAAGACAAGAGAGCCGAGACGGCTTTAGAGTTTGTGGGCGGTGCCGTCTGCGGCGCACATGCTATATCGGTCTGTACAGTGCGGAACCTGGCCTCTTCATCTGGGGCTGAATGCGCGGGCAATGGCCCGTCCGGAAATTCGCCACGGGACTCAAGCCCGTTCGTTGCGGGCTTCGTCTCTATCAGAATAATCCGGAGCAGCATGTCGAAGCCGAGCAGCGCAAACGCCAGCCCAAACACCGTATAATAGCCGGCATGCTCGTATAGCGCACCGCCCAGCAGGGGTCCGGCGATTCCCCCAACAATCATCCCCATTCCAATGTAGCCAAATGCTTGCCCGAGTCCTTCTTCCACCACTGTCTGCCGCAAGAGCGCAGAGCCCATTGTCCATACCGCCCCGTTGGCTGCACCCTGCAGCAGGCGACCGGAGATCCAGAGGCCGAGGTGAGTCCCAACACAGAGTTTAGGACGACCAAACCGGCCATGAACGGCCACCGCAGCGAGTCGACCCGTTTGATCCAATACCAAGTGATAGCTGCCGAGGAATGAGATCAGACAGTAATAGACACGGATCGGTTCATGTCACTCACGCGAGGCGACCAGTGACGACGCACTAAATACCACCCCCAGAATCGACACCCACCGCTGGTCTATCACGGAGGCGCTTATTAGCTTGGGACGCGATGCCAGGGAACTGTAATCTACATACCATCAATTCCTTGTATGACCCCTCGCTCGGGCAAGGCTGTCGGGATGACTGGGATAATCTGTAAGTGTCAGGGTACGGATGGACAAGAGACATGGTACGATTAATCTGGTACCAATCCATAGAGGAAGTTATCCTTTGAGAGATTTTGTTAGTAGGCGAACAGCAGCTTCGGCGACATGTCCCAGGACGCACTACATACTGTAAATATTGCGAATACTACAACAAAGACAATGAATTTGGCAGACGACCGGAAATGGAGAAAGCGTTGCTGAAAAAGTCGACTGTGCCACGAGCAGAACAGGATATTCATAGTCGCAAAGACGGATGAGGCGCAGACCCTGAGGATCTATTATTCATTCAAGGGACGCGTCTGCTCAGATAAGGCCCGGAGCGTTCATTTTGAACGATAATACATCCCCGAGTATATCGGACCAACTGCGCTATTGATTGGATAGTCTCGTTCGACAGTCCACTTGGTTTGAGAGTATGTGATTTCAGTCTTCCAGATAGGCCAAAATAGCGTCGATTCTACCTCAATAAAAGCAGTAAGGGGAATCGTATTGCCTACAGAGGATTATATATCAGAGACAGCTCCACTTAAATGAGGTGCTCCTTGGAATGTGGCGCCAGCTGACGCACATACCAAGCAACCTCCTAGCACGGAATGACGCCTTGCTCTCGTCCTGCCAGACCCATACTCACTTTGATCATATATTATTAAGCCTAGGGAGCGTGAGGACGCAAGGCACAGGAGCTTTCACTCAGAATCCAAGAGTTGAAGTATMTTTCTTTCTCCTGCTCCGGGCCAGCAGCAGCAGAAATCCCTGGGCTGGAAAAGGAGTTGCAAAGCTTTTTATCTGATGGCATGTGTATATTAATCTGTGCAGATACCTGCGGTCTTCCCTCCGGCGTCTAGAGTTACTCCATATTGGACTAGGTACAATGTTTCGATCGGAATATACGTCCGTACTTCGAAGGACTGATCGTTTTACAGAAGAATAGTACTGATCGTATTCGTCTAAGACACCCAAGTGACCACGCCAATTMCCAGTCTATAGCGGCTAGCTGCTCGACCAGCACAGGCAAAACTGGCCCCCCCTGCTCTACGAACAATGACATTCCTTCCTCTTTCTGTATACCATGCGCAAGTCAGCAGTTCGCATCCATGTGCCGTGGCGTTGATGATCATGACGCTATCCAGGTCGACTGTATGTGCTGAGTGCTCTTTCAGTCGCTCGACGGTCCAGATATTGTTCTGATACTGGGATGCCGCTCGCAAGTGCGATTCATGATTCCCCCGGGGACCGGGTTGGCAGGCGGGCAGAGTGACAAAGGTCGGACTCGTATGCAAAGTGTAAGTCACCGTTCGTTCGTTCACCGCCACCCATCTAGAAAACAATGCGGGCTTGGTACTCGATCTCACGGTGCATTTTCTCTGCTCTCATCTCCACGCCGAGAGATGGTGCTGGGACACTCGTCGGTGACGACAAGGCTTGGAGCTAAATGGCTTTCATCTCACAGACCAGTTGAACTGTGGTTGCGGTAACACCTACTGAACTTGGTCCGGCATCGCGGCAAGATAGAGGTGTACCTCCTCGCCGAGCTTTATCCGTCGAGCTTCGTACTAGATATTCTCAGCTGCAGCGAAGCTGGCCCGTCGTATGTGCCGGGGCATCGCCCGAGAGGAAGTGAATCGTAATGTGCGAGCATTGGACATCGATACTAAGTATTTAGTATCTTAGGGAGTAGGAATGTTAAATACTATGACTAAGCACCACTATTGCAAACCCTAGATAATCAATTTAATAGTATAGGTATAGGCCAGAATAATGATAATTACAATATACTCCATATAACGTATTAACGTTCCATAGGGATGCTATGTCATCTAGCTTGGTGGCGTGTGTGCCTGCTCTAGCACCAATCTAATGGGAGACTGGAGATCATCTAAAGTCCACTTTCTGTTTGTACAAAAGCGACTTACCTGTACTCGTATTGTGAGCCAATCAATGAGTTGTGTTATATTTATCGCTGACTTAGTGCTTACACCGGGATTGTTGAAACCCGGCCCAATTCCGACCGATGKGCCGCCTTGTCTCACCCACCAACCTCATATTCAGTCCCACAATGTAATCCATCACGTATCACTTGAGCCATCAGGTTCGGTGCTTGCATTATCTTTGACCGGAATTCAAGAAAACGGGTCATCGAAGAGCGTATCAAGCGTCGTATCTCCTTATGGATGACACGACACGCTATGTTCCAGCACCCTACGGCCGCGCTTGTGCCAACTGTGTTCGAGCCAAATCCAAATGTCTCATTCCAGAGACAGAGGGCATCTGCGCAAGGTAAGTTGTTAAGCTGGGTCGGTGAACATTAAGTAAGAGCCACATTAGATGTTATCGATTGAATAAAGAATGTCGCCCACCAGCCAGAGTCCGGAGGACTAGACGAAACACCAAAGTATCAAAGACCGTGCAGCTGGAGCAGAAACTGGATGGCATACTCTCCCTCCTCAAAGACAATCGCTCTAAATTGATCCCCGAATGCCCTAGCCCTGCAATACTCGACCAGGATCAAGTTTCTTCAGGACGTCCAGATGCCATACCCCCTCTCCTCACTCCAGAGAACAGTACCAGTGACACTCCTGGTAGGTCTTTTGCTACTTCGGCAGGACGAGCAGAGGACTATTCCCCACATACAGCCGGCTCTCTGGCAGAGGAAGCTCTGGATTCATTTCGCAACGGTCCTCTGGAGTATCTACCGTTTGTTCATATTCCAGACAGCGTTAGCGCCGCAGAACTGAAGACAGAGTCCCCATTTTTATGTTATTGCATCTGTGCAGTGCAGTGCAAGCATACTGCGCGTCAGTCTGCTCTCAGTGACAGCATCAGAGAAAAGGCAGCCCAGGCGCTACTCGTGGACTGTCGAAAGAATCTGGATATCCTACAAGGCCTGTTGGTCTATCTAGGCTGGTATTTTCAATCCCGATCAACGTGGTTTCCCGTTACTGACTGCTCAAGGATTACCTTTCACTGTCAACCGCAAAAGTATTCTCTTTGTACATATATCCAACTGGCGATATCTGTCGTCTTTGACTTGGGCCTTCACAAGTCTCCGCCTGATGAATCACATCCTGCCGATTGCGATTGGAACGGTCCTACTAACAATCGCAAATTTCCTGTTTCCAAGACTCGCAGCATGAATGAGCGACGCGCTGTACTTAGTTGCTTCCTCCTAAGTTCATCGTATGTAGCCTAATTCCGGTTTCTCCTGTCAAGTACTGATTCCGTCACCCCCTGTGTGACAGTATATCGCAATTCCTTTGCAAGCCGGATCCAATGCGCTGGACAGCGCACATGAAAGAATGTCTCGAGGTCTTGACTGAGAGAAAAGAGACTCCCAACGACGCAGTCCTTGTACAGCTTGTTCAAGCTCAACTTGTCGTGGACAAGGTGATCAGGCGGTCTTGGGACGAAAGTGGAATTACCGCTGAGGGTTTAGACAACCCCCGGTTACCGACATCCTTTTTTATACAAACGATGCGACAACAGCTGCAAAGGATCAAAGGTCGGATTCCACCTGAGTTAGCGGACAACAGTAAGTAGTGAATGGCGAACATTACACGAAACCCAAGACTGACATGTGGTGTAGAGGTTGTGCTTTTCCATCTGTACCAAGCCGAAATGGCTGTATACGAGACTGCGCTGTCGAGATCACCGCCACGAGTCGAAGACGTAGATGTCACTCGTATCAGCCATCTATATGCCTGTCTAGCAGCAACCAAGAATTGGTTCGATCTCCTTCTCACCGTCAGTCCTGAAGAATACGTCTCCCTGCCGATAACGATCATCTTCCAGGTCTCACACTGCTTGAGTACCTTGTTCTATCTTTCTACATTTGATTACCCGGGTTGGGATAGAGAGGCAGTTACCCGAACAGCCGATCTCCAGTTCATCTCGCAGCAGGTGATTGACCGACTGGATTCAGTGGCCGAAGCGGCAGGCATTCAGAACGAAGGAACGGATGGGGATTCGTGGAGCAAGGCGGCCAGAATCCTTCCTAAATTGCAGGCTAGTTGGGCGTCTAAGCTCCCGAACACTGTGGTACCAGCTGTGAATGCAGTAGGACAATCATCAGCTCTTTCTAGTACTGATGAGGGCTTTCTCGAGGCATACCTCAATTGGCCGGATATATGGTTGCAGCACCAAGTCGACGATGGCGCCAATAGTCTCGAGTGGCAAGCGGCTTAATTTGTTTGATACAGTCGAATTCAAAAACAGATTACCCCTTAGGGCACTCACGCTTTCTTTCCCCACCCCCCACCCCGGTTACGCTATTGAATTCGGTTAGGGAAACACCACGATCTTTCCTTGATATATTTCCGATAGATCACCAAAATTACCGTAATTATAGTTCCGAATTTTGATAAGCCTCTTCCTCATTCTGACTCGCCGAACTTTTGATCCTCTTATCCTGCTTTACTACCACCATACCTAGGTTTGGCCCTTCTCTACCACTAGGGATGGAGAGTACCGCACAGCCATCCGCCGATGCGGATGAAAATATGCGCCTGGCGGTGGAACGATTCCGCACCAAGATGGAGGCCTCCAATCGGCAATTTCTTCAGGACCGAATCGACGAGATTGAAGCTATGAATCTCTCCACAGAAGAGGAGAAACTGAAGGAGATGCGCGTCTACTGGCCTGGTCTGACAGTCAACAGCAAGGATCTTTGGATGTCAACCGCTCGACCAGAAGCTGTCCGTCAGGCTCTTGAGGAGGAAAATGTCACCCGATTAGCTGATGTCAAAACGCTATACCATCAGCATATGGATGGAGCCAGCCCGCCAAACTTGTTGACAGATGAGTGGCGCCAGATGTTTTTGGACACCGTTCAAACTGTGTGTAATGAGGTGGCCTTTCGAGATGAAGAGGACAACGATTTCGAAGTCCCGCCCTGCCATGATCTGGGTCTCTTTCTCAAGTACGCTAGTACGGTCGAGGACCCCGACTTTCGCTACGCAGGCATGGCCCCTTTTGAACCACCTGGAGCTTATTCTAAGGAGACGTCTGATATCTCCAAGGACCGAGAAGATCTGATAAGAGATCTGCATCACTATTATCTTTGCGAAGAAGCCTTCCTGGAAGCCTATATGCACGATGACTTGGAAGTGCGAGTCGGCTTCCGAACCGGGATTGGTGTCAAGTATAAAATGGGCGGGCATGATACATGGTACAGCATGTATCTCTACTGTCGACGGCACGTGGAAGACTCTGATCAGAGCCACAAGGACTGGGCGTGGCGAGTGGTCGTTTCTCATGCCACAATTGTAGATAACCCCATGACGGTTTACGGGCAGAAGCCAAGATTCGACTCTATCATCGAGTTTCTGGACTGGTACAGTAGCTGGCTGGAACATTTAGACATGGATCAGGTTCGGGAGGATATCGCTCTAAATTGTGGTGGGGAATGGTGACCGGTTCGTTCCTCATGGGTGGATGGACGGACACTGCATGAGCGGTTGACAAGTATATTATATGATGACACCAAGCCTTCTTGGTTTTCAGGTCAAGAAGCTGGCTTGATGATACCCTATGCCCGAGTGCATATTAATGGCGGAGAGAGCAGGAGCCAAATGGCGAAGGATAAATAAATGTAACAAGGAACACGAAGTCCAGAAAGTGAAAAAAAAGCGAGACTTCCCATCCAGACTTTGGCTAGTTTCGGTTAATACCTATATCGGACAACGAGGAGCCAGTAGTCAAACTGCCCCTCTCTGAATTACAGACCTTCTCTCTGGATCCAAACAGATGAGGTTGGCCATTCTCAATTGGCCTTGGGATGCAAATGACCGTCCACATCCGAGAACCGTTCCTATCAAATCCCGCGAAATTAATATAAGATCGACCTCTCAAAAGCGACTTTACTCTTTTTCCCTTTTTCCCTCGATGGAATCACTGATGCTGGGGAGTCAGAACGGAGTGTGGTGGTCTAGCTTAACGTTTGACTGTATTAAGAGTCAAATCTGGATCGCTTGAGTGCATCGTTTCTTATCGATTTGGTCTCTGACCTATGTTGATCGTCGCAAATCCCGTCTCAGCTGATTCACGACCCTTGAACGGGGTCGGAGTCGGGATTGGCCCAACTCCGTCCGATGCTGAGGTATAATAATGAACCTTTCTCCCAATCAGAGGTAGCTGCATGATGCTTATTCTCAAGTCGACAACAACTATCACCAGGATTCTTTCAAAAGATGCGCACAGAACTGGAAGGGGAAGAAGCTCCCCGGTCTGTCGATCGAAAAAAGGAGCCGTCTGTCGTACAGAATACTCAGAATACGCCATCTATGGCCTCAGAGCTATCGGGCGCTAAACAAGAGCCCGAGATTCTCTCAGCAGACACTGGAGAAAAACTGGCCAATTCTACCGCCAATGCTGCTGGAGAACATCCGGAAAAGTGGATTAAAGGCGTTCCCCTAGTCATGGTAACCTCGGGGATTACTCTGGTCATATTCCTGATGTTGCTGGACATGTCAATCCTATCTACAGTCTGTAGTTCCGGTTTGAAATTGCTGAACTTTTCTCTAATCTCGAAGTAATAGGCCGTACCACAGATTACGAACCAGTTCCACTCTCTCGAGGACATAGCCTGGTACGGCAGTGCTTACACATTAGCCAGGTAGGTCAAATATCTTATGTCGAGGAATGAAACTCCAGAGTTCTGATCTAAACCTTGCTCTGACAGCGCGGCCCTGCAGCCTCTTACAGGGAAGTTTTACACCTATTTCACCTCCAAGGTAGTTCTCCTTCTACTCGCTTCGCAATGGACGGCTGATTCCCGTGAAGTGGGTATTTCTGGGCTTCTTCGCAGTCTTCGAACTGGGCTCCTTGATATGCGGCGTCGCTACCTCGTCGAAAATGCTCATAGTCGGCCGGGCTATTGCGGGAATGGGATCCTCGGGCATGGCCAACGGCGCTCTGACGATTGTCGCTGGTGCTGTTCCGATGCATAGAAGGCCATGTATGAGTTCTTTCATCCGAAGTTGATCAATGGAAGCTGACATGTTGCGAAGTGTTGGTTGGCATCATGATGGGACGTATGTACGGCCTTGTCAGAACACAGGAAACACAAACTGAATCAATTTTTCGCAGTGTCACAGATTGGACTGATTTTAGGACCTCTGGTCGGTGGTGCGTTGACCACGTATACGACATGGCGCTGGTGTAAGATGACCGGTCCTTGCCTGAATACAACTAGGTCTGACATCCAATATTAACAGGCTTCTATATCAACTTACCCATTGGAGGACTAGTTGCTGCTCTCTTGGTCTTTACTCGCATTCCCGAGCAACGAGAAAAGGGTCGAGCGGTTGAAGTTCTGCCGACTTGCTTCAAGACGTTCGATATCTTCGGGTTTGTGCTCTTTGCTCCCGCTGCAATCCAACTCCTGCTGGCCCTTCAGTACGGAGGTAATCAATATGCATGGGACAGCGCCACCGTCATTGGCCTGTTCTGCGGTGCAGGCGCAACGTTCGCTGTTTTTCTGGCATGGGAGCACCGCATGGGGAAGGATGCCATGATTCCATTCCATGTGGTTCGCAACCGGATCGTCTCCTGCAGCTGCGTGGTTATCATGGCTTTGTTCGGAATAACAATCACTGCGTCGTACTATCTTCCAGTATACTTTCAGGCAGTGAGAGACAAGACGGCGCTGGTTAGTGGTGTTGATTTGTTGCCGGGTGTGCTGTGCCAGATTTTTATGGCCGTGGTCTCGGGGGCTCTCAGTATGTCAGCCGTTTATTGTTTGTCGTCATTTGTGCTAATAGTCTCTTGACATAGTTGGAAAAATAGGCTACTATCTACCGTTTGCGGTTCTCGGCGGAATCCTCAACGCTGTCGGGTGTGGTCTTCTGGCGACCTTATCGCCCACCACTCCAACCCGCGAATGGGCCGGCTATCAAGCTCTAATGGGATTTGGTCGAGGAGCGGCAATGCAGACGGTGAGCCCATTTCTTCCGTTCACCCTATAGCCAGACGTGCATCTAATGACGGTACAGCCCATGATAGCTGTCCAAAACGCCGTCCTGCCTGACGAGATGTCGACGGCCATGGCCATCCTGACCTTTAGCCAGACCATTGGCGCTGCAATATTCCTTGCGGTTGCACAAGTCCTCTTCTCTCAGGGTCTGAGAAGTACTATCCCGCAGTACGCCCCTACCGTCGACCCCGGGACGGTGATTGCTGCTGGTGCGACAGGTTTCCGAGGCGTTGTGTCTGAGGCGAGTCTCCCCGGAGTTCTGCTCGCTTATTCAAAGAGCATTGGACATATTTTCTACCTGGTTGCTGCGCTGAGTGTGGTGCAGTTCTTCCTTGCATGGGGAATGGGCTGGAAGAACGTTGGCAAGCCTAAAGAGAACAAGCTGAAAAGGGAAGAGGAAGGGAAGACAAACAATTGAAGTTGGATATCTGCGTGATGTGATAGAGAAATTCCACTCATCCTACGAAGATTAGCTTCAGAATGTAATATAGAGGTTTATGCCATTATGACGTCCAATCCATTCCTTTCCACATTAATTTACAACAATAGTCAGCCTAACGCTTTCTAACAAATAACAGATTAATGAAGCCTTCAGGGATCGATCGTGACCATGTAACTAATCGAAGCCACCTGTATGGGACTCTATGTAGTATGGTATGCTCCACTGGAAATCCGTTCAATTGGCAGAAACCAATCTCCTACTCGACTTGCCGACACTATGGAGTATTTTCCTGCTGATTGTGAAGATCCTATCCTAAACTGTCCTCCCATCTCAGCTTCGTGCACTAGCCAATGCAACCCTTCAATAGGGGTGATCAGCCACACCGGGTCGATCACAGGCACAAGGTCCGGTATTTGGCACCATTTCCCCAGGTAAGCAATTCCCTTTAATCTACAGTTGTGATCATGGCCCGACAAGTTGCGGAGGGTAGTATTGCAGGACGTTTCATCGGGTTACTTTGCCGGTGACTTTGCCGGTGCTACAGTTTCAGGGTGATTTAGCTCATGCGCTGAAACGTTGGAGATTAGGCCCAGAAGCAACATAAAGCTTTGCCTCTTCCAGCAGGGTCCATCTTGATTTCAATAAAAATCATCTGAATTATCTTCTCTTGAGAACAGCAATCTTCAAGATGCGCTATCTTCCAACTGCTGCCGTTTTGGCTGGAGCAGGCCTAGCCTCGGCTTATAGTGTCCCAGCCAACCTACAGCAAATCTATAACAAACACAAGGTAACATCTTCTCTCCTCGTCTATTGCAGACTGCTAACGTTCTAAGACCGGAACATGCCAGAACAAGCTGCAAGACGGGTTTTCCGATGGCATTAGCGGCCCCGGCACCTTCGCCTACTGCGGCGACATCCAGGGAGCGATCTTCCTTCACAGCTCCGCCAACGGCGGCCAGTATGATAACATGGACATCGACTGCGATGGAGCGAACAACAGCGGCGGCGACTGTGCGAATGATCCCTCCGGCCAGAGCATGACGGCGTTCATGGATACCGTGAAGCAATACGGCATCTCGGATCTGGACGCCAACATCCACCCGTACGTGGTGTTTGGTAACTCGGGCAGCTCGCCGACATTTGATCCTCAGCAGTATGGAATGGAGCCATTGAGCGTGATGGCTGTGGTGTGCAATAATCAGCTGGTACGTTTGCTATCAACTTGTTGACATAAGACGGATGAAACTGACTGGTTAGTTCTATGGTGTCTGGGGGGACACCAACGGTGGTATCGCCACTGGGGAGGCGTCCATCTCGCTGGCCAAACTGTGCTTTCCCAATGATGGCATCACCGGTGACAGTGGCCATGACCAGGACGATGTGCTCTACATTGGGTTTACGGGGCAGGATGCCGTCCCCGGTGCTAGTGCTGCCTGGACTGCCCGCGACACTTCGACTTTTGAGGAGAGTATCAAGGGTCTCGGTGATCGCCTTGTTGCTAAGCTTAGCGCTTAGAAGGCCATGTCGGGATATAGTGTAGCTAGTCGAGTTGATACATGCTTGTCCATAATCGTACATCATGTTTACAGTCTGATATCACAATTGACTCCGGGTCGGAGTAGTTTGAACCCCAGCTTCTCCATCTTCTGCCAATCAAGCATGCCATGAGGGTCATACAGCACTTTTGGAGACTCCACCTCCCCCGCAAGCTTGTCCCAGTCTAGCCGACCTTCTTTGAACTCGTCCCAATCGGTGTGCAGGACGACCGCACCACAGCCGGAATAGGCCGCGTGCAGGTCCTCCACAACCGTGACTGCATCCAGATGCCCGCTCACAAGACCTAGCGCTCTCTCAATCTGCTCCTTTGGCACATGCGGATCGTAGATGTCCACCTTGACACCAGCACATGTCAGTTCCCGGACCAGTTGCGTCGCGCTCGTATTCCCGTTCAGGATCGTGTTCCACTTGCTCGCGAATCCAAGGATGGCGACATCCCTCCTCTCCTCTCCCTTGGGTAGACTATCGCTGATGCGTCGTGCAAGGCGCCGCACCTGATACGCCTCCATCCTCAGTACTCCCCTCCAGTACTCTGCCACCTCCGGTAAACCCAGCTCTCGTGCCAAATACACCAGACACCCCACATCCCTGAGCAAGCTCGATCCACCGGCCACATACCCGGTCGCAGACAGCGCCCCCACAGTCTGCTCGATATGCGTGATATTTGCATTCGTGGACTCGCAGATCGCGCGCAGAGACCGAATGCTGCTTGTCTGCTGCGCTAGCATTGCGCTCGCGGCGATCTTACCCAACTCCGACGACCAGGCGTCCATGGTGACGATGCGGTCCTCGGGAACCCAGGCATACAGACCTTTCAGGGCGGTTAGTGCCTCGGGTGACATATCCTCGGAGAAGATGTGCCCAATGATGATTCGGACTGGATATAGAAGGTCGCGGATAGCAGTTCCACGGACCAGAAACTCTGGGTTGGAAAGAACTTCGAAGGAGGCGGATGGGGAGGCGGTTTTTTTGAGCTGTGAAGTTGTAAGCCTTATGTTAGAGATCAGACTGAATTGGCTTCGTACCATTTTCTTGATTCGGGGGACAATTCCGCTTGGCCCTGTGCCCCTGTGGACGATGATCTTGTGTCCAGCTGAGACTTGGGCGATGGCCCGGATAGCGGCTTTGAGGTTGGTCAGGTCAAGGCCGGGAGTCTCGTCATCGGATGACTGGAAATTAGTCTAAATTGCTGTGCTTTTTGAGGGTGGAAAAGCTCACGTTGTCCCGAGGAGGATCCACGCAGAGAAAGATGATATCCGATGCCGCTATTCCAGCATGGATGTTGGTTGAGAAAGTGATATTTCGCAGTTTTCGTATTCGCGGTTGACCCTTCACAGGTTCGTGCATTTCAATCCGTTGATCAGCTTCCTTCTTTGGTCTTTCAGATGCTACGGCGTGGTCCTCAAAGACAAGCTCCTCTAGACCAGGTTCACAGACTGGCAAGCGATCCGAATTCCACGCCGTGATCAGACGCGTATCACCATCAACGACATGGAATCGGACATGTGGATTCTGCGACGCGAGAACAACTGCCGTCAAAGCTCCTATACTACATCAGGCACGGCCTTGCGTGGTTTCAGGAGGTAACTCACCGACCGGTCCAGCACCGATGATACAGGCACTGCGAATGGATTCAGTCTTTCCCTCACGCACCGAAGATTGTCCATCTCTGACACTCTCTGAATATGTATGGCCTCCAACAATCACTCTAGGACTTTCTCTTTCGGCGATTGCCCTGTATCGACGACGGGAAATCAGCAATGTAATGCCAGCCAACAGCACCAACAGCGGTAGGAAGGGCATCGTGATCCAGATGGTGGCATTGACAAGAACATTGCCTGGTCTTCAACATCATCTTCTGGTGATAATTACACAACAAGTGAAGATGCAGAGAGAGACGCGTTCCAACAGGGAACTGGTGATCCTTGCTGCATTGTTAAAAGAGCGGTCTGTCGTCAGCCACTACTGCAGAGCAGTGCATGAACGGGTCTCGTGCAGCTATTTTTGAACGAACAGCACGATCCCTTGCCCTATTGCAACTGTATAATTGGATGCCCGAGGTTGGGCTGGCCACGATATGTGGTCTACGTGTCTCTCTCTGCAGGCAAACAACCGGTTTGAATGGCTTATGCATAGACTCAGTCAAGCGCAACGCACATGATATTGAGAACATACCAGGTTAGACTTTCGTTTATGGTTGCGATTCGGGATTTGACATAAAATAAACTTGGCCAGGCCTCTCGAAAATTGCAAACTGAGGATTACGTGAATTCTTCGCTTAGATGCAGGGAAGAATGCATCACCAGCCCGCCAAGGATATCGCCAAGGGTATCGTCGAATCTCGGCATTGCAACTTGTCCCACAAATCAATGATTAGTCTATGCCCAATAGCGATCGTTCTAAGCATGCAAGCCTGCGCCGACGCTAAGCCGCAGGACAAGTCGAGCCTCGGTGCGTAGTCGAAATACAGCTACAGCACCGGTGGACTTGCTTAGTGCTTACCCCTCCTTGATTCAATTATTCCAACAGGACTTCAATTACCATCTCAATCAAAGTTTACTGCCTCCTACTACGGCAAGTACACCACTATATAAGATTGAGTATAAAATGACCGTCAACAACCTCCCCCGCATCGCCTGCTTCCACGGCGGGGGCTCGTCAGCCGCCATCTACCAGATCCAATGCGAACAGCTCGCTCATCTCCTCAAAAATGACTTCCAGCTCGTCTTCTTTGAGGGCCCCTTTGAGCGCGGCGCGGGACCAGGCGTTCTGCCCGTCTTCGCGGACTACGCGCCCTTCAAGTCGTGGTTTACGCAGGATGAGCGCGGGGAACGGGCCGATGGGAGCGGGTACGACGCGTCCGGCAACGATGGGGTCGAGCGCGTGTGGAGGCTGATGGAGGACAAGGGCCCAGGCGGGGAGTGGGTGGGCGCGATGGGATTCAGTCAGGGTTCGCGTGTGGCGGGGGGCTTATTGCTGGATCAGCAGCGGCGGGCTGCGTTGGGAATTCCGAAGAAGACGCATATCGAGCTGCTCTTCGGGGTGATGTGTAACGGGGCGGGGGCTCCGATGGAGTCGGATGCGGCTGAGCGTATGGTCCCTTTGCTTTTGGTGCTTTTCAGTGCTTACCGGGTTAGATGTGACGAAGTCGAATGAATCTCTCAACCGGGTCAGTCTACCGACGTTGCATGTCCATGGGCTTAGAGATCCGTTCTTGATGCTGGGCAGGCTGCAGTTGGAAGACTGTTATGATCCGAAAACGGCGACGCTCTACGAGGTGGACTATCATCACGCTATGCCGTGGGTGAGACACGAAGCCAAGCAGCTGGCTGATCACATCCGAACCATCTACAAAAACAATGCGAAGCAATGATATTGATGGCCGACGGTCGCTTTGAAATAGACGGTCACGGGGGATGCACTGATACAACGAACTGATAGATTTGTTTCTAAATATGTGTCTAGGTTTTGTCCTGTCTTAGCTGCTACATTCTATGAGTCTGGTGGCAGTAATGCTATTGAATCATATTCTATTGAACGCCTGACGTTGGTGTCAACGAAGCTAGTACGTCCGTACCATTTCCGTTCATGCTGTGAGGGCATAGGATAAAATCATTTCATTCATGACATCGTACGAAGCATTCCAATGAAGTCTCAAAGAAGAAAGTGGCACTGATCAGACAGCTGTAAGGCAATGACAACCGCCAGGGCATGTCAACGAAGAGCATCCGGAAATCTTAGGCAGACAGGAGAGACACCACCTTGGTCCAGATCGAATCGAAAGCCTGATAGGTGTTTAAATTGCTGAGGTAGGTCTGACTGGAGATGGCACGCAGCTGAGAGAGCAAGGTCGAGAGATCCACGGTGGCAGGAACATCGTAGACCATGGATGCAAAGCGACTGGTGTCCTGGCCCTTGATTGCCTGGAACTGACCGGATGAAAGGGCTTGCACAAACTCGTTGTACGGCGACTCGAAGATGACCGTAGCATCGGGAATGCTGAGGTAGGCGGCATCAGGAACAGTTCCTGGATTCGTGACGACCTATCTAATGGTTAGCATGTCGGACTCAGAGCTGTCGGCAGCTGTCTTACATGGTTATTCGGGCCGAGTCCTTTGCTTCCTCGGATGAGCGAGGCCAGTTGCTCGTAATAGGTGACTGCGGTGGCATCATACCCCGAGGGTGCCTCGTCCAGGAAGATACCGTGCACCGAAAACGAGGAGTTTCCGCTAGCAGACGGCCATCCGGCATAGGTGTTGATTTCCTTTTCCACATCCGCGATATCGCGGGTTCCCTTGCCAGTACGGACATATCCAATCACCAACGCGTTGCTGTAGGCTGTGAGTCTGGGGACTGCGGCCAGGAAGTTCTCGTCAGGCAGCGTGGTAGAGCCGGGACCGTTGTCAGGATTGATGATGATGGTGAACTGGACGTCGGGATTGGAGTTAATCCTATTGAACAGACAGGTTAGAGTTTGGCTCTGACGTGAGGAAAGGAAAGAACGTACAATTCTTCCATAGGTGTCCAGGCTCCCTCGGCTGGGTACAAGTACCAGGGGATCATGATGTTTCCTTTCGACGCGCTGGTTCCAGAGGCGGCCGTTGCAGAAGCGGTGGGTGTTGCAGTAGGAATGACAATCGAGGCAGGCTCGGTAGTTGCTGAAGCATAAACGCTTGTGCTATAAGCAGGCTCAGCACTGTAAGTGCTTTCAGGAACCTGGCTCACAGAAGTGCGAGAATGCCGCCAGCCTTTATCAGCCGAGTGCTTCTTATGCTCATGGAGACGATAGGAAGGGATGCATGCGCCGTATCCTTGCTGGACAAGGGCCATGCATCCCATCAAGCCCACCAAAACACGAGAAAAGTTCTCCTGGAACATGATGATTGAAGAGAAGTGAAGGAATGACTGAAGCTAGTACAAAGGAATGACTGAGAATCGAAAAAAGGAAGGACGCTTTCCAGAAGCTGGTGAGTTGAATCGTCATCATTCACAAGGGCTGGCAGCTTCCATATATACTCTTGAATCCAAAGATTCGAGACCGTTGAGGATCTGGATCTGAAAGTCAATTCTAGATCAACGGAGCAGTGGACCATCATCGGCTGTCATGGATTGGGCCGAACGTCAGCGCTAACATCGGGCAATTTCCAGCTGAAACAAAATCTCCGCCACGGCGCTTTTCTTGTCACTTCATTTGCATCTCTATAAAACTAATGCGGACTCACTTGTCTACTCTTTGACCTATACAAGACAAAGGAATCCAAAGGACCGACATCCTAGCCCAGAGTCCCTAATCAGAATGGATGGCTGCGTCCCCTTCGCAAATTTTGTTCCCCTTCTTCATGACGCCTCCTGCATTCAGTTGATGCATCATACTGCTATCCTGCAGGACATCCGTCAGCTCGTCTGGTACTCATATCCAGCCTGTAACTGTGACTGACTCCTTAATCTTATTATTGCAAGTCTGCCGCCAGAGGTTCCTGCGCTAGTTTATGAAAGGTTGCGTCCCTCGCCACATTCAAGGACAACATAAGCGCCTTGACTGAGTCAGAACTTGCCTGGACCCTGAAGTATCCTAAGACATAATGTGAAAGCTGAATTCCCGTCCTTGATACTATAGTTGATGCACCATGCACCAACAGACGTCAAGTAAAGCCTGGGGTCCACGAAGCGGTAAGCAAATATATGCAGCATGGTTTGGCCGTCACGTCTTAAGTCACTTCCATCGGCCTCATGCTTTAGCCTGAGAATATTATTGAGTTTGATGATTTTCAACCGAAAGGTTGTGTAATCTGTCACAAAGCCGGTGTGGGCTAGGCGCCGGAGCGAATATCATTCAAGTGGGATTAATATGAAGGTGTGAATGGTATAGGGTATAATATTCTACATTTCCTCTCTAATCAATAGAGGTGAACCTGACACTATTCAAGGGCCCAGTCTAGCCCACTACTTTTTATCCAGAGGCTATGCTGATCGAAGCAGTGCGGGATCATCAATAGCATGCCTTGGTATCATGAAGTTGAGAGCCCCAGTGCAAGACAAATCTCGATGGCTATATCCCGGCCTTGAAATTTGAAATAGCAGGTTAAACCACCTCAGCATGCACAGGAGTATCCGCAGGCTTCTCAGCCTCGGCCACACTCTGCTGGCGATGCTTTTCAATCTCCTCGCCAAACTTATCGTGAACCTTGTGCGACTGCCACGCCTTGACATTCGAATCAAACATCATATCAATCTCTTCCAGGGACCGCCGCGCTGTCTCGGGGTACATGAAGAACACATGGAAGGTCATGACCGTGCAGAAAACGCCGAAGATGATGTACGTCTTCCACTTGATGTTGGTGAAGGCGGGAGCAACGAAATATGCCAGCGCAAAGTTGAAGATCCAGTTGCCGGCTGCGGAGAGACCGACGCCCTTGGCTCGGTATTTGAGCGGGAAGACTTCGGACGCGTAGATCCAGGCGGCAGGGGCCTGCTTCGTTAGTATGGGTCGGTTCAGTCTCAAAAAGAGAGGGGACTCACCCAGGTCAGTCCATATACGCCAACAAAGATATAGGAACAGGCAATGACGCCTTTTCCGGGTGCGMCTTTGATCTGCCAGCGTAGGTTCTTGTTGCCGTCGATCTCGTCGACCGGGTTGCCGTAGGTGGCCATGATACCGGCAATGGCATAATGTAGTGCCATGCAGATGATAGAGCCAGAGAGGAGAAGCAATCGACGACCAATACGGTCAATGTATGGCAGAATGGCGCCGGTGGTGACGAGGAAGATGACATACTGGATGGCCGACGAGTAGAGGACGGTGTCACCGGGCTAAGTCGGTCAGCCGATCTCTCCCCTATATCAACGTCGAGCAAGAGGAATTACCATATTGGCCATCTGGAAGATATAGACCACATAGTACATGGCCACGTTTCCACCGAGAAGCTGCTGCCACACCTGGACACTAACACCGCACATCGTCCGCTTCCAAACCCGCGGCCCAAACAGCGCAAAGAAGGAAACGTCTTTAGCCTCCCGTGCGACCCGCACGGCTTCCTGGACTTCCTCCCATTCGACCTGCACCTCGGGATGGTTGGGGTCGCCTTTCCCGTGTAGCAAGGCCAGTGTATCCAGACTTTCTTCCCAGCGCTCCTTGCCGGCCAGCCAGCGGGGCGATTCGGGGAAGAAGAGCAGGGCAACCGCCAGGATAAGCCCCGGAACAGCTTGGACACCCCATGCAATGCGGAAAGCAGCAGGGGAGTGTACGCCTTCGGAACAGCCGTAGGAGACCAGGTACATAATCAGTATACCCCATTCGATGGCCCACTGCTGGATGCCGACGATTCGGCCACGGATACGAGCGGGAGCCAGTTCGGCGAGGTAAACGCAGACCTGAGACGAGGTGATGCCCACTGTGGTCCGGTAAGTTCATGTCGAGTCGTATTTGGTGACATGCGGGAGAATACCTGAGAGTCCACTGATGACACGACCGGCGACTAGATGCGCCACATTCTGTGCACTACATTGGATGACAGCCCCGATGATCCAGATTATCGAGGCTACGAGAAGGGCTCGGCGACGTCCAATGCGATCGGAGATGAAACCAGCTGCAATAGCACCGGCGAAGGATCCAGCAGACATGGAGGCAGTGATCTATGTCGCGAGTCTGTCAGTTTGGCCGGGAAGCGAATGGACTTGACATACGCCTCCTTGTAAGTTCGAGTCGGGAGAGTTAAAGTAGTCGAGGTACTGGTGTGTGCCTATCCACGCGCTCATGGAGCTATTAAGAATCAGTTAATGCCAATGCAGAGCATCGGACAGCACATCTTGAGACTTACCTGACATCAAACCCGAATAGAGCACCGCCGATAGTGCCAAAGGCGGCCAGGACTGTCATCTGTCAGTAGTTGAGCGGCATTGTCGAGTCGGCGGGCGTACCGTATATGTTGGAGATCCGATACATCGTGCCAGAAGTGAGTCTACACTGACCTGGTGAAGCCGTGGAAGTGACATCGGTTCCGAGTGCTCTGGCAGGTTATATACAAGTCCCGCTAGACCTTGACGACGACATCTCCAGGCCGGGTTCCACCCCAAGTCCGGGGATGGTGCCATAATCGCAGGGAAGCCGAGTAAAACACCCCGCAAGAAGTAACGATCGGCCAATGCTTGGGAAAGTCGGCAATGGGCGAGTCCGGGGATAGGACCTGGAGACATGGAGAGAACCGAACGGACAAATCATCGGCTTTGGGGAGAGGGAGAAAGCGAGGCCGAAGTGCGTCACCGGTGGAGTCAGTACCTGTGATTGTCCAGTCGGCTATTTCGACAACGGGGTTTTTTCCTCTTTATCCCTTGGCTGGGGAATTTAACCGACTAAAGGGTTGTCTCTCAGAGCACATTTACCTCATGCGACATGAACACGACTCATGGTGAAGAAGAAGTCGATGGTGCGTCATAACATCAAGTAACTGAGATGTTGTGTCATAGTATCATAGTATCAAACGCTTTTATCCGGGGTAGGGCGCCCTTTGCCCGCCATTGGCCTTGATCGTTGATATTTTATGCCTTCCACTCTCCTTTTCCACTCAGACTATGTCCTCTTTGACCCAAGTACCGAGAATAACCTGACATCTCGAACCAGCAGCATCGGGACGATCCGCAACTCGGTCGGGATGGCGCTGCAGTTTCACTGCCGGCAGCTAAAAACGCCACCGACGACAGCGTTCAGAGCCAACCAGGCCGTTCTTGTTGAGTCTTTTCCTCACTAGTCTAAATATGAGATGTGTGACAATCATTTTATCAGCCACTGCTTGACAGCTGACTTGTGTCGAAAGAGATCACGGGTATTTTAATGTTCAAATTCCAAAGGTCTATTTTGCCGATAACCAACACATTCTCTACGACTTCTACAAATCCATTATGGCGGGGAAGGTTCGATCCCTTAAGACACTGCTGGACTGCTTCAGAATACCATCATGATTCAGATGGGATCATCCACGGTAATGGCTGGGTCTATGGATTGATCTATTCCGTCTCGTAATGCTCCCATCCAATCAGTTGCTTCGCCTTCTCCGTTGTCCAGAACCCCTGATTACCCGACATATCAGCCCGAATCTCCGCATCAGGAAAGTACTTTCGCGCCAGCTCCTCTGACGGTATGTCCTGCGTAGTCGTGGGAGCAACAATATTGAAAATCTCACATCCATCCCAATTGTCGCAATTCTCCACGGCCAGCAAGCACGCGCGCGCGGTCGCCACGGGATTCACCCACCCCCAGAGCTGCTTCACCCCGGCATTCTCCCAGTCATTCTCGTGGACCTTTTGTACCCGTTCCAGCGGCGACACCTCGTGGATCCGCAGACATGCGATCTTCATCCCGGGGAACCACTCGGCGAACGCTTGAGCCTGGATCTCCGCTTCGCGTTTCGCCAGGGCGTACGAGTCTGTGGGATGCCGGGGTGCCTCTTCGTCTAGAGGGAAGTAGTCAAAGTGTAGCGGTCGGTTGGAAAAGGCGAGCCCGATGGCGTTGACCGACGAGGCGTAGCAGAACCGCTTGATCCCGACCTCTGCGGCAGCACGGAGGCCGTTGAACGCTGAGTCGACGTTGTTGTTGTGCACGACGTAGTCATCTTTATTAACCGGGTTGGGGATCGCGGCCAGGTGGATGACTGCGTCGCAGCCGCGAAAGGCGTCGACGGTTTGCCGGTAGTTCATGGCCACGTCCGCTGTGCGCATCTCGGTGTTTGGGATGTCGCCAGTGGGAGGCTGCTCGGTCCGGTTCACCTGGACAATGGCGTGGCCTGCGTCCGCGCACACCTTGACGCAGACGCGTCCTACGCTTCCGCGGGCTCCAGTGATTGCTATCTTCATCCTGGCTCGATGCAGCGTGAACGGAGGGTTTTGAGGTGTACGCCGGTTTGTTGTACTGGGATCGACGACCCCAACGAGCAGGTGGTGACATGAAAAGGAAGATCAAAAGTTTGCCTTGCGCCCATGATATGGTACGATGGTGAAAACAATCGCATTCCTGACGTCAGGCACTCACATCACCGTGGGGTCAATAGAGGATCGCGCAGTTTGTAACTTGACGATGCCACGTCGGGACAATGTTTTGGTACGCAAGTAGTCATGACAAGACATCTCGCGACAATATGAGTCTTCCCCATGCTCTTTGAACGTTCCTCGATGCGAGGAATTGAGGTTGAGTCGATGAAGCCTCGTAGACTTCTTCGGACCTTGGTTCCGCACCAATTAGATCCTAGGAGGAGGCAGATATTGAAATGCGCGAAATGGCTTTATTGACAAATACAGCATATTGGAGATTGTTATGAATCGCCGGAACATCTATAACTGAAAACGTCCTCATTTGCTGAACAAAGTGTATAATGGAGACATATATCTTGTCACCAATGTCGCTTCGCCTCACTCTTGGTGATAGTCAACACGGGAACTATATCTCATGGGCAAGGACATAATAACAAGGCTAACCCCAGATTATCACTTTGCAAGATGAAGAACACAAGAGAGACCCTGCGACTGTTGCAAACTCGAAGAGTCGAAGCTGAAGATCACAAAGGAATCCACGTTGCAACCTCAGGCATCAATTTGTTCATTCAAGGCTAGTGAGAAATCACGTGATACATATCCTACGAAATTTCTCTTTGCTACAGGCCGACCACAGAGAAGCTAACCAGTCATTTCCAGTGAGAAATAACTAGAAGAATATGTCCTAGATCCAGTAGACTCCTTTTACAAGACTTCAGAATCTGTATAATCTTCCAAGTAAGGCAATGCGGAGGGCCCCGCAGCGAGGGGTAGCAGTCACGTGAGATTGTGCGGGAGCCTCGCTTATTGGAGATTTGCATGACGAGAATGCTCAAGGCTCATTCAGGTTTGACGGCGAGCATTCACTCGACGAGAGGATTATCTGTAACGTATCCAGCTGGAAGAAGTGCATTGCGACGTTCCTCGCCACAATGATCCTTAAAGAGACCACCCGGCTGGAGCTGCCAGCGGCGGCCGACATGCACGTCCACCTTCGCCAAGGCAAGATGATGGAATTGGTTGTGCCGGAGATTCGTAAAGGAGGCGTCGATACCGTTTTTGTTATGGTTAGTCCTGCTGTTTCTGGAGGACGTGGCTATGGTGGTAGACTGCTAACTCCGACAGCCCAACCTGGTCCCTCCCGTTACCAGCGTTGCACAGGCGCTGGAGTACAAGGCCCAGTTGCAGGCCATTGAGCCGAATGTGAACTATCTCATGTCGCTGTATTTGAATATACGTCTCGTCTCTCTTGTAGTGCGATAGCCTTTGCTGACTGGCCCTTACCAATCTGTTACCCCCGAGACCATCAGAGAAGCCGCCGCGGCTGGTATCACCGGTGTCAAGGTGTATCCCCAGGGTAGGTCAACCACCCCTCTTTCAAGGCTGCTTGTTGACGAGTGTAGGCGTCACCACCAACTCCGCGGCCGGCGTACGCGACTACGACGAGTTCTTCCCCGTCTTCGCGGAGATGGAAAAGCACGACATGGTCCTCAACCTGCACGGTGAGGTCCCCGGCTCGCCCGGCTCGGACATCAACGACATGAACGCTGAAGAAAAGTTCCTCCCCACCCTCAAGATGCTCAATGAGAAGTTCCCCAAGCTGCGCATCATCCTCGAGCACTGCAGTACCGAGGCGGCCCTGGAGGCTGTCCGCTCCTGCTCTTCTTCTGTTGCGGGTACGTTTTGCCTTCTGTATCAGTTTATATGCGTGCGACTAATAACTGATGTAGCGACCATCACCGCCCACCACCTGTATCTCACCCACCACAGCTGCTCGAACCCGCTGGCCTTCTGCAAGCCCCTCCCCAAGACCTCCAAGGACCGCGATGCGCTCCTCCGCGCGGTCTGCAGCGGCGACCCCAAGTTCTTCTTGTATGCACCTATGCACCCCTTCTTTTTTTCAAAGCATTGCTGACGTCGTCCAGTGGAAGCGACAGCGCCCCCCACCCGCGTCTCGCCAAGCAAGGTGGCGCCGAGGGAACGGCCAAACCGCCTGCGGGAGTTTTTACGCAACCGTGCGTTGTGCAGTATGTGCTTCTGGCGCTGGAGGAGGGCGTCGAGCGGGGCGTCATCGCCAACGATGATATCACCCAGGAGAAGCTGGCGAATTTCCTCAGTGTGTATGGACGCCGGTTTTACAAGTTGCCCGAGGCGAAGGATCAGATTGTCTTGGAGCGGAAGGGGGAAGTCATTCCTGACAGTGTGAAGAGTGAGGATGGGAGCGTGGAGGTGGCGTTGTCCCGGGGGGGAGATGAGGTGTTTAGTCTGACGTGGAAGAGCTCGTAGTGGTTGCGAGAATCCAGCAGGCTCAGTGAAGTGAAAATACAGGATATTCTCTACATGGAGTTGCAGATAACTACATGTAATGACTACTACATACATGATGACATGAACTTATATCAGATAGCTACAGCGTCAAAAGGGCGCAGCGGCGGGGGTGTCCTCCCCGTTGACGATGGGCTCTAAGCTGCTATAATCACTGTCAGAGTCTTGAACAGATTCAACTGCGGTATGTAATTGTGAATTGTGCATAGGTGTTGTTATACACGACTGAAATGCAGTATATACAATACAATACAATTCTACCACGACTTACCCAGTCTTTGCGGGCACATCGGGAAACTCGGCCTCCACACCGTCAATACCCTCCTTGGGGGGACCGGCATAGTTGCGGTAACCCCAGACCAAGTACCAGAGCGCGGCAATGGCAGTGAACCCGACGAAGACGACACAGGCGTAGTTCATGGTCTCAAGGGTGACCACCTTGTACGTAGGCATACAGAACAGGGGAATGGCCAGAAGACTCCATGCTGTAGACCATTAGTAGTGACTTTAGCGACCGGAGTGAGTGACTTACCCAGCGCAACCACATTGCAGATACTGCCGATGATACCCATGTTAAATCTGGCGTTGGCGATGTCCGCGCGACGACGAAAGAAAAACGAGACCGCAATGGGGCAAGCGTAGCTGAGCGTCAGGAAAATGACACCCACGCCGGAGAAGGCGTTGAATGCGGCGGTGGAGCCAAAGTAGATGGCACCTAGCGCAATCTCCACGATCATTCCCAGCATCATCGCGTTGAGGGGAATGTCCAAGGTCGGGTTGACGGTCTTCCACCACTTGGAACCGGGAATACCGCCATCACGCGCAAACGCCCAGGTGCAGCGGGAGGCGGCCGTCACACATCCCACACCGCAGATGATGCCGAGAATGAGCAGAGGGAGGAGCAGCAGAAAGGCTCCGGTCGAGCTGCCCAGAGCATCTTTCAGGATCACGGGGGTGGGCTGACCGGAGGCCAAGTTCACCAGCATCGTGATATCGGGCAGGACAAAGGTCAGGGGCAGCAAGAAACCCAAACCGGCGACAAAGTTCAGCACGATGGTCCACACCATGGCTTTGGGCACCTGAATGGCAGGCTCACGGACTTCCTCGCACATACTACAATAATATTAACGGACAGGTCATAAAAGAGAGAAAAGGAAAACTCACGAGATGATCATTCCAGTTGCCGAGGTGGCGTATGCGGCCTGCAACAAACCGATACAGAATGACCAGCCGGAGGGCCAGCCGGACTGGGGCTCAAAGTCGGTGAATACCCACTTACCAGAGTGTCGACCATGTTTGGCGACAACGAGGACGCTGATGATCAGGGCAATCAGGCCGATCAGGGTCAAGAAGATGGCCGAAGTCTAGATGGGAGACCACGCATGAGAAGGCGCATTGGGAGTCAAAAATACTGGTCGCAACGAAGAAGAAACATACCTCCAAGATAGGGAGCCATTTGTTGCCTAGGGAAGAGATCGCATGGGTCAACAGGGTGATGGCGAGGAAGATGAGGTAGATCTGGTAGGTCTGCATGTCATCTACAATCCCGACACCGGGCTCGGACTCGAAGACATTGAGACAGGCGACGAAGAACAGGGTAGTCCCAAAGTTTACAGCCAGGGTAATGGTGATGTTGCCGAGGACATAGGCCCATCCGCAGATCCAGGCAGCGGCGCGACGGCACCAGGCGGGCGATAGGGCAAAGGTTTGGTAGTAGACGCCACCGGCAGTGGGATAGACGGAGGTGATCTCGGCCAGCGAGATGGCTACACACAGGATGACAAGCGAGACGATAATCCAGCCCCAGATGATGTTGGAAGGGCCTCCTGCAGCGAGTGGGTAGAAGAAGGTGGTAGCCAGACCGTATGGGACGGAGGAGAGGATAAAGCACATAAAGGCTACCTGCAGGACTGAACGGTTGCGGGAGAGTTCTGGAGTATAACCCAGATGCTCTAGGATGGCGTCCGCCGAGCCTTTGTCGGTGCCAGTCTCCATGGTGGTGGCGGTGGTGGATGTGGTGGAAATGGCGGAGGACGGAGGGGGTTCCGGGCTTGTCGCGTGGGGTAGAAGGATATCAGGTAGGTCGCTAGGAAGGAACGTGGGACACAAAAATTGTATGCGTCAGATCAGCATACTCATATATATATACAACGGTCCGGGCTGGTTAGACTGCGTTGGGCCTTTGCGTTGGCAATATCGTGAGAGCTGCGATGGACAGAGGGCGACGCTGACAGTTATTAAATGCTGAGGATGAAAAATTTTGAGGAAGTCAGAAACGGCAAGATTTAGACTCTGCCCACGTGAGAAATGGTGCCAGTAGAACGGAAAGAGGATAATTAACGTCTTAAACAAGGATACGCAGCGCATGATTCGACGAAAGCAAGGTTTGGGAGCGACTTGGACTCGGAGACAGCCACGAGGAGAGGGGGGGATGATTGGAGCAGACAGAGCCCGACACGGCATGAATGACGACGGTGGAACAAGGTCGTTTAATTGCCTCAAGACCATTTGCTGCGTTCATGGCTCGAGTTCCACCTGACGGAGGCTTGGAGATCCACCGTGACAGCCCGGTCTGGAGATATCCGACGTGCATTGTTGCTTGCATGATTTGGTTTGAGTGTACGGTGTATACGGAGTAGGGAGTAGATAGGAATAGGATTACCTATTCAAGGAAAAATTTGAGTACGGAATAAGAACCATCGAGGCATTTACTATCTGTTAAGTCATGTAATAATATAGGAAGGAGTCCCTGGACGATTTTGCCTGTTTGGGAATTGAGTTGCCCCGGGTGTTTTAGTCCTGAGTCTGAGGGGAATAATGAACCAAGTTCCGCCTAACCAGTACCTATCTAGGACTCTAGGACAAGGACTAGGACTGGATAGTGAAAAAGTATCTTGCAGAGGCGAAGACAATGACCCATGGAAAATCTCTGCTGACTTCCGATTGTATCGAGCCAATCAGATCGCCGCAACAGAAGCGGACTTTATGGGCCAATAAACAACCAAGAACAGTCTGGTAGTGCAAAGTCTAATGGATAGCCTCGGCTGAGAACGCTGAGACACGATCAATCAGTGAATCGCAGTGAATCTAAGTCAAATGCAAGTGGAAGATGGTATAGATAAAGAGCAGGTTAAGAGGGTGTCAACTCCTCTCTAGCTCCTCCACTCGGATTGAATACCATAACTTCTGACTATCTAATGTCCGTTAAAGGACCATTATCCCAATAGCAAGAATCGACAGTGTCATCCACGTCTCGCCATGCATCCGGCGTGACCCTGTTCCAGAAGCACTGGTGACGACGGGGAGTCCAGCACTTGTCACCGTACTTGAACCAGCAGCGACCGTCGCAGTCGATGTAGCCGTCGAGTTCGCCGTCGAGATGGCAGTCGAGTTCGCTGTCGAGTTCGTTGTCGACTGGTTCTCAACTACTTTCTTCGACATGCCCGTGTTGAACAATGGAACTGTATCATTCTTGGTCCATCCGCACTTCTCGACCGTTGCCCAACCGTACGACGAATCCTGCCCATCGCCAACGAGCACGCTGCTAGAAATCAACTCGACGCGATTGCCCTCCTCGTCCTTGCCGGGGATATGAAAACCAAGCTCGTAGTCATCGTACGGATATTCATGTGCCACCCAGAAATAGGCCAGCGCGCAGGTCCAACTGCAGTCGCATTCCGCATAGTAAAAGCTGCTCTGGCCGATATAGCAGTATGATCCGTCACTAATGGAACAAACCATGTCAGTACCAGTCTTCGTTGGAGTATCAACTACATACTCATCCTTGGTGCAGGATCTCATCAGCGTATATTGCAGGATATGTCCCAGCGTCACCACTGGCACAAACACCTTGACCCCGAGGTCTTCCCAGTCCTTAGTCTTTAATGCTGCGTCGCTGGCCTTGTTGCAGGTCTTCTCGACATTCGCGACATACGCCGACAGAGACGACTGGCAGGTGGCCGTGCAGGTACGGTCAAACGTGGCCGAGTCAAAGTCGGGCGGCAGCCACCACCGGTCTTCCTTGGACACGGCCAGTGCGAGCAGAAAGTCGTCGCAGTCGATGTTCGCGCTGTAGGCGTCCTTGCATTCTTGCGAGGTGGTGCTGGACAGGCTGGCGGTGGTGTAGTTCCAATACTCGGTGGGGGTATTCAGGCTGAAACTCCACACTGGGACAACGCCAATCGCCAAAAGGAGTGGAAGGAGAGAATACATTTCAAGGCGGTTATGAATTGAACTTCAGAAGAGCGCAGATTGACTGGTAAAGAATGACTTCGGTGAACTGAAGGACAGTGACTACATCAACCTGCGTCCGTACATGATGGTGCCAGATCGGTGGTGAACAACCAGGGGCACGTCTCTTACTTATGGCCGGCTCAGGTTACATCCTGTCAACAAACTGGTTGATGACTCGGCGCCGACTGCGAAGCGATGAACTAGACCAGAGTCCGCTGGCTCGGCATGAACCGGTGGCTTTTAGCGATGAACAATTGAGCGATTAAAGTATCCCATATACAGTCATCTTTAAAGAGGCACATTGCATTTTACATAGAATCATAGTGATACAGAAGTCACAAGCAATAGGGAATTGCCTTTCATTCGGAACATCGCCGTATCTCAAACAACCGAGTCAACAGGAAGGATCAACAGCAGGATCAACAGCGGATCGACTGAGCCAAATGTTGAGCTTGGACGAGTTGCCAAGAGGCTCTTATCAAACTACGAGTCACTAAGAGGCCAACTCCCAGGGTCCAGTGGGTCTAGTGCCGAATGTTTTCCATACAGAGGACTCTGTTTTCCATAGTCGGTGCATGCCATGTCTCACTTTAGTTGCCCTTGGGTATTGCCTCTTTTGGTTGAGCCGCACAGTTCCTGTTTGTTCCGTCGAATCATGACCCTGTCGCACATGCCAGGCCTTGGATGCCATATTGATGTTGCCTTGGCTAGTTGATCTCATCCTCCGAAAGGAGCTTGGCTCATATGTTGCCACGATGGGAGCCAATTTCTACGTAACTGGAAAAATAGGGGGCTATGAATATGCAATTTGCATGGTGTGCGTTCTATGACATATGTCTACAAATACTCCAAGATAATGCTATCCCACATAAACCCGTGCCACCGACTGGCCTTATTCACGGCAAAGTCAATCGAATTCCAGCCAGGCTGCAGTTTTCCATCGGGGATTTCAAACTGGAACAACCGCCACTCGCCAGCGGCCGTGGCCGACCGATACAGACAGGGATCGTTCGGCAGAGTGGTCAGGTTTCCGATCGGACTAGTCGCATCGCCATTCAGGAGAATCATCGACGTGGTTCCCGACGAGTACCCAGCCAGGGAGACAGTCAGCAGCGCAGCCGAGCTCTTGGCCGCTTCGAACCGGATCGACCATGTCCCCAACGCGGCTTGTCCGAAGCACCAGTCCGCGGTCTTGCTCTGGCCAATGGTGTAGGTCAGGTTCGCAGGGCATTTGTCCACCAGCGCGTGCTGGTGCGGAGCACCGCCGTACTGGAAGCCCAGCGACTTGCGGTCAAAGTCGCCGACCTGGAAGATTCTCGTGCGCGAGGGGACCTCCCATTTGAGCGTGCCCAGCTTGGCCGTGTGCGACTCTCGCACCGTCACGTCGTTTTGCAGGAAGGAAGTGGCCACATCGGCGAGCTGGCCGCCGTTCGACCATGCTTGCAGCCCGTAGTCGCCGGTGCGCACGTCCTCAAAGGTGAACGCCCCCTTGTCGTCGGTCTGGCCGGTGTAGTAGTAGGTCGTGCCCATGTCCAGCGCCGTCTTGTTTGGCTGATTGTCGCCCAGGAAGACCGACGCGCCGGCAGCTGGTCGGCCATCGGAGAGAACCAGGCGGCCGGAAACGGAGCCACGAGACTGGTAGGCTTCATCATCGAACCATTTGTAGGGCCATGCCTTGAACTCGTCAGCTGCGCGGGCGGCGGCGTCGGTTTTGGATCCGTCGTTCTGTTCGCCGTGTCAGCGCATCATCTGATAAACTGACGACAAAACATACCAAGTACCACAGCCACGGCCCCCAGACCTTGCCGTCCGGAAAGACATCGTTGGAAGAGACCATAAAGTGTGTGCCGTGGATCATGTTCAGCTGCACCGCATCGCCGCTCGAGCTCTCGCGGTGCACCATGAGTTCCTGCTTCAGATGGTTCCCATTGTAGTAGTCCTTGCCCGGATTGATGTACCACGAGCCAAACTCATCGCCATAGACCCCGTAGTAGTCCTGGTCACGGATCCATGCCGTCCAGTCATACTTGGTAATGTAGGACCCGTCAGCCAGCTGCCACGTCTCGTCCTGAACCTTGGTGCCGCTGGCGATCTCCGCCAGCGTGGGAAGGGCGCCGTCCTTGATGTTAGTCCGTCCGTTGGAAAAGCTCGTGTTGTCCAACCGCCAAAGCGTCCGGAACTCACCCAGCGTAGGGAGGGCATGGTTGACAAAGTACTGGTACGCGCCGACCAGGTCTTCGAAGATCACCCAGTGGAAGTCACCCTCCTTGGCGGTGAACTGGATATCGAGGAAGTCCTGTCCATTTGTCTTTCCTTTGCGATAGATTTCCGCCGAGGTCCAGTTCAGGTCGGATTGCGCGCCATCTGTCATCGCTGGAGTTGGTAGATGGTCAATTGAAGCGGCAGAACATCACTCACTGTAGCTGACATAGTGGCCCACAGCATTCCCTACCAAGTCTTTGCCTTTGTAGTAGAGCTTGACACCGTACTTCTGCCCAATGGTGACGTTCCACAGATCGTTTCCGATGATATGCGTGGAATCGTCGACCTTTTGCAGAAATGGGCCTTTGGCGTGCACGCCAGCCGCCAATGCCAGACTCACAATGGATGAGAACCGCATGCTGATCAATTCCTCCAAGGACGCAAGGATGATTCTGTCCTTGCCAGCATCAGGTCAACAAGTATTTGTATTCCAGATATTTTCCCCATGTTTTGGTGTTGCCAAGTTCATTTCGGGGGAAGATTACCACGAAATGCGGGGCGTGGAGACCGAGGAGTCGATGCTGATTGTACGAATGATGCCAATGGTGGAATTATTCCCCATTTCCCCGGATTTTGCTCTTTGGATAGGCGTGAGAAAGGCATTACTAATTAGAAGAGATCCCCAAAAAGTTACTTCGGGGTATTTGAGAGCGTCGTTCGCCAAAGAGGATGCACTTATCCCGAGCCTGCTGCTGAAGCCGAAGTAGTGACCATTTCTGATAGATTCTATTCATAGCAAGCAGATCAAGTAATTCTATGGACGCGGTACGAGCATCAATACCCTTGCCAATGACAGAGCCGATCATAAAGTCCGCATAAAAATACACTGCCCTTATGCATAAGCCCGTGTTCATATGCATTCTGTAGACTCGTGTTGCTGACGTGTTCTTTGCTAGTCCGAGGCTCTGGATACGAGAAATGCTATGAATAGTAGCGAAGAGGCCCATTGCCTAAGGTTAATTAGAATAAGCATTGATACTCCATCAGAGTGTCCACTTGCTGTTTGGTGGGCTCCATCACCCTACTCCAGACTGCAGAGTCGCCCAGTTATATACCAGTGATGTCAAATTATCAATCATCTGCCCATGATCCGATTGACGATATGACTCCGTGCGTAACCGGTACCGAGGAAGACTGGACGATAAGGGATAGGGGAATCTACCAGAGAATAGGATGCCTGATGAGTGTATCCTACCAGTAATAAAACCCCGCATTCCAGGGGCCCGACTTAGGCTCAACTTAACTCCTTAAGATTGCAGGGAATGACCAATGAATACGAGGGATTGTCGATCAGACCCCCAGTGCGGCCAAGTGCACGTGGGCTTCCATTCCATTTCCCTATCCGTCTCATCCCCGACTTTATCTTCTGTCCCAGACTGATTCAGTCCGGAGTTCCGGCTCAATCTAGACCAGCGTAGCCGATATTGCTTTCAGCCCGTCTCACTTTGGTCCATTCTGTCTCAGCTGTGAATGTTCCACCCCTCAAGGCGATGCACATTTGAAATCGGACATCAATTTGTAATTGTAGGTCTAAGAAGTACGGAGAACATCTCGATAAAATGTACTCGAGGATACGGCCTGCATGAACAGCACACCCTGCATTGTCCCTGGTTGTCAGATCGGAGGATTACCCCGTTCTTGTCCAACCTTGCCCTGTTCTATTTTAAAGTCGAGTTCTCGTCTCTTGGCCAGGATGCTCTAAGGCATGAGGCAAAACACATGAGCAGTCAGATCAGAATACCAACCAAGCGCACGACACCAGGACAACTACTCTTCGTATTTGGGCGCATCGACTGGGTTATCCTATGGTGAGACCCAGCGGGAGGATCAGCCAGCGTTACATTCCCAGCAGCCACACAACTCTCTTTCAGAAGGGTTCTCCGTGAAGGAGCGTCTGATTGAGGATTGACTTGATAAGCGATACTAAGCGATACGACGGGCTCCCGTGTCCCCGATAAATTGCATGCATGCTGAGTGGTAGACTGGCGAGGGTTATCTGTCCAGCCTACTCCGTAGTTGATAACCAGCACGCTAGCACGGTCAGACCAAAGGGCTTATCGCAAGCTAAGCCTTTCTGCCATTTTATTGGCAGACAAGACATGCGTTTAGATTGAGGTGGTGTTGTGCTAGAAAGTCTGTACGCTCTATAGGCCGTCTTTATATTACTCTATGTCCCCCGATTGTCCTTGTCCTTCCCGCTGACCACTGCGAATCTTCTTTTTCTAGCACTATTTGCTTCGTTCTACCTTCTCTACATCGCCATGGAGGCTCCCACCTACGAGTCTTCCAGTAGCCATAATGGGCCCCATGAAAAGGAAGGAGGTATCCATTCGACTGTCGATATCGACCACGACCATGGCGCCGATACCGACCTCCACCGCTCCCTGAGCACCCGCCATCTCACCATGATTGCACTGGGCTCGTCCATTGGTATGGGATTATGGCTGGGAAGTGGTACCTCGCTGATGAACGGTGGTCCTGCGGCCATCTTCATCGGATACCTGCTCAGTGGCACGATGATCTGGGCGGTTTCGCATTCTATCGGTGAGATGGCGGTTGTCTATCCGCTGCCCTCGGCCTTTGTGCAGTGGTCATCCATCTTTATCAGTGAGCCGGCTGGATTCACACTGGGCTGGAGCTACTGGTTTCAGTTCTTTATCACCTTGGCCAATGAACTGCAGGTGCGTCTTCTTCAGTCTGGGTTAGAGTGAGATCTAACCGGCCATAGGGCGTGGTCACCGTCCTCAGCTTCTGGACAGACAAGGTGCCTACAGCTGCGTGGATTAGTATCTTCTGGGTGGTCATCGTCTTGATCAACATCTGGGCCGTCAAGTTCTTCGGTGAAGTCGAAGTCGCTGCTTCCACGATTAAGTTTTCCTGGATCATCATCGTCATTATCTCTTTGATCGGTACGATTTCCCTCTTTACATTTCCCTCTTTACCTTTGCGGGCATCTTCTAATCCAAGTAGTCGTCTCTGCTGGAGGCGCCCCCGATGAAGGCCCCATTGGTTTCCGCTACTGGAACGCCGAACCGTTCACCAACGGCTTCAAGGGTTTCCTCTCCGTCATGCCGACCTGCATTTTCGCCATGTCGGGATCCGAGAACACTGCGCTGGTGGCCGCCGAGACGAATAACCCCCGCAAGTCGGTGCCTCGTGCTGTCGGGTCGATCTGGCTGCGTCTCTCGCTCTTCTATATCCTGGGTTCGTTGATGGTCACCATCACTGTCGATCCTCACGACCCCAACCTGTTCGGTGCATCGGGCACCAACGCCTCTCCCTTCGTCATTGCCTACCGTAACGCCGGACTCGTCCCACTGGCGCACATCATGAACGCGGTCGTTTTCATTTCGGTCGTCTCAACCGGAAGTATCCAGGTGTATGCGGGCTCCCGTACGCTGATGGGTCTTGCGCATCTGAAGATGGCACCAAAGGTACGTGCATCCACCATCATCTCTCGGTCCTAGCTGACCCGGACAGTTCTTCGGCAAAGCAGACAAAGTCGGCCGTCCCATCGCCGGTCTGGCCCTCACATTGATCATCGGCGGTGGGCTGGCTTATCTCAACGTCAGCAACAGCGGTTCCGAGGTCTTCACCTGGTTCTCCAACCTCACATCTCTCCTCACTCTCTTCGGCTGGGGCATGATCTGTGCATCGCATCTCCGCATGCGATACGCCTGGAAGGTCCAGGGCCGGTCGCCCTCGGAGCTGCCGTGGAAATCCTGGACCTACCCGTTCGGCGCCATCTGGGGTCTCTTCTGGTGTATACTGCTCATCATTGTCGAGTTCTATCTCAGTGTGTGGCCTCTTGGCGGGACGCCGACGGCGAAAGGCTTCTTCGCCAACTATGTCAGCGTGGTAGCGATTATTGTCATCTATATCGGAGCTATGATTTACTACAAGGGGCCGCTCCTGAATGACGCGAGAGCCATTGATCTGGATCAATTCCGCCGGTTCTATGTCGATCCCCGGGATGAGGAGGCCAAGGCTGAGAAGACGGGAGTGAAGAAGTACCTGTCCAAGGGCATTGGATTCGTGTTCAACTAGGTAGCATATGCCTATGTCTGTTATAGCGTAAGGCATCACATAGCAATTGTACAGTCTCATTTCAACCAATGATACTCATGGTTCCTCAATGCGATAATGAACCGAACTCGATCGGACCGAGGCGTGTGTGGGGTGGAAAGTGGAGGTGATCGACGGTCTTAGTCTGATGATCTTGTAGAAAGTATAAGGGCAGTGTACTTATGTATCAATGACTACAGTCAACCAAATATGAACTTTGATCTTCAAGACTCGTCTCTCATCTCAACGACCTCGACCCGTTATCTCACTCCAGCATACCAATGATGACAACAGCTTCTTCGACCACCGCCGTGGGTACGCCCGCACGGACTGGGCCAGGAGCGGAGAATGGGCTGAAGAGAGTCAGATGCGCGAAGTTGCCACATATCCATTTAAGCTTAAGAGGCCAGCGAAGGGAATATCGTGGTGTTTTAGCAGTATCATGTGTGATTGATTGTCAGGAATATTTACGATGGATAATGATATTGCTATTTCGTTTTCCTGCCGCTATCTCTGACGCAGGTATTCTATTGCAGTCATGTGAACAGCGAGGTCTCGAGGATATTGAGAAACAATGCTGACAGCCTTTGGATAGATTAACTGTCAGCACTAATATAAGATATGCTGTCGTCATTGGCTAATTGAATACAGGTGTCAAAGCTCCTGTTAGTCCGTGGTATCTGCCTATGATTGATCGCGGATATTGCCACCCGACGACCCGAGTCTACTAGCTTTACTGCTTTGCTGGGAATCCGCAGCTGCTGACACCTCCTCCATATGAGACAAAAATGTCAGCATTCAAAAGAATCAAATACACTCATATAGTAATCCAACTTGCTTGTTCATCAATCAAGCCAGACTAATCATGATACCCCCTGACTGGCAACACCCTCCTTACGCGGAAGATCAGCCATTTCCGCACCTCATCCTCGCCACTCATGTCCTCGACCGCGGCTTCCAAGCGGGCTCCGCGCTCGGAGTAGCTGTTGGATTTGTGAAAGCGTTGCGCTCTGAGGCCCCCAGCCTCCGCATGTCGGCCAGCATTATCACGCGCTCGACTGGATCCGCCGGCTTCCTCGGCCTGTGCAGCATGGCCATCCTGCTTCCTATTCGGATGGCAGGGAAGGAAAAAATCGAATGGCAGGATCGGAGCTGGAGGCTCCTTGAGAATAAGGGGCAGGTGGAGGTCGATAATTGGAGTACGTGGGGGATGCTGGCGGGAATTGGAACGACTACCGCGATCATCAGGAAGAACGGAATGCCGCTGCGAGGGTCAGGGTTGACACATATCGTAGGAGGAGCGGGACTTGGGAGTTTGGCTGGCGTTATTGGGTATATGGGATGGAGATATGGCGTGATGGGAGGGCATAGAGATTGAATATGGAGATTTCGCCCGTGTTTCACCTAGCTGGGGGTGCTGTATACTGTATGAACTGATATTTCGGTCGCTTTGCAGGAATTCTCTTATCTCACCAGGTATAGTATTGCTACCATGAAGGGCCACTCTGTCAGTATCTCTACATGCGAGAGGGAGATCCTTAGGTCCATGGTGTCGAGGCTCAATGTTCTATAGCGACGTCTCTGCAATCTTCACCTGCTTCAGACACCAGTAGGTTCTCTTGCATGGTCAGGATTAATTGAATAGGTACCTATATATAAGGCTTGTTCATGTGTGGTGCTAGCTAGGTCCGTTGCATTCTACCGAACCATGATGTCCAAGTATATATATCCGGAGGGAAGCTATGGAACACCAACCCACAACGCAAGAACTTGACATGGTAGAAGCATGAACCTTGCCTTACTTCGACCTGGGAAGTCTTCGTTTCTTCCAGAATTTGACTATACAGGATCTTTTGGGAGACCTGTGGTGTTTGATTTCTAGAGGGCGAACTTGTCCGGAGTAGGCATACTGATCCCAGCCATAAAAGGGCGCATTCACGGCTGCTAGAAAGAATTATCAGAACAAAGATCGCTTTAACAGACGACTTTGCCTAACAGCCTACGGTCGGCAGTGCAGCATCCCAGAAGTGTTCTTAATTTCTCTCACAGCAAGGCCCTTTTTGCCTGGCTGCCTGAAAATCATTGTTAGGTAATCCAGCATAACTCTGTGCATAACCACATGATCGACAAACACAGCTTATCAGTTTGCTCAGTTTGCATTGGCCTGCCACAAACGGAAAAAAGTGGCATGGATGCGCTGGACACTGCCAACTTGTCAACACCCAACCTTGACATGTTTCGAACCTTCATCTTTTTGTTTCATCTTTCTGACATGGCACTCAGTCTACCAGTTGATGCCACATGCTGAACACCGCCCCCCGATACGATAACATCAACGAAGTCAAAGTGACGCTGTCGACAATGATCCACCTCCGACGCAGATATCCACACCCGACCGCTGTTGGGCCCGCAAGGCGAAGCGAAGGTCCCCACTGGTACAAACAGCGGTGAACTGCCTGGCGCGAATCATCATTGCGATATGGCACGATTTGTTCGACTTAATCGACGCGTTGGCCGCTGTTGGCTGGTCGCTTTGTTTTCTCTTACCCGTCCGGGAAGTTGTTTACAACGCGATGCTGTGCACGTTCTTTGAGCGACCTCGGCGTCCCCTCCATCTGGCAGCTTGCGATGGGTAGCTATGAGGAGCTGCCACCTTTGCTGCATGCTCATTGGCAGCCTGGAGAGAATACTCAATCAGAAGATAAAGACCCAGTGAAAATTTGCGACCATGGGGCTTCACAATATCAGACTAAGGTTTTGGTAAACAAAGCCAAACTGGTGTGATCAGAATTTTCATCAGGCCTGACGCTGGTATTTAGACCTGCCTTCGTGCCGTCCCTCCGTTCTTCTCTCCATCGCACGCAACCTTCTCTGGTCGAATATGGACCTCACCGTCCTTCGCTCCATGTCGTCGCGGTTTCCGTGGTCTCTTTCCCTTTCCTCCCTCCTATCCCCTCGCAAACCCCAGCCATCGGCATCGGTGTCGGTCTCGACGCAGACCGTACCCAATAGCCGACCGCCATCGGTCAAGGTTATCACACCGTCTCCCGAGGAAGAATTACAAGCTCGTCGGCAAATCGCGCAGAGCGATGCGGAGGACTGGCTGCAGAGCCTGGTTGGCCAGGACAATATCAAACGCCGGCTGAATGAGATTCAGACGTGGATCAGCATTTGTCAGAGACAAGGGAAAGATCCGAAGCAGGAGTGGTACAATATTGTCCTCGAGGGCAATGAAGGAACGGGCAAAACCACTGTCGCCCGCATTTATGCCAACATCCTGTTTTCGACCGGCATCACCGACGTGCCGACCCTTCGAGAAATCTCCGGAGCCGCGCTGGCCGCGCAGGGACCCGAGGGACTGAAGCATCTGATCAGTGACATGGTCGACGCTGCATCCCCTTCGGCACAGATTGTTGGAGTTTTGCTCGTCGAGGATTCTCATCTGCTTACAACGTCAACCCCCACTCGCTGTCAAGAGATCTTTGGTGCTCTCTTCGAGGCGATGGAGCGTGGCACCGGACGCGTCGTCGTTGTCCTCAGCGGTCATCCTCCGCACATGCAGGAGCTTGTTCGGTTTCAGCCCCGACTTGAAAGAACAATCTGTTGTACACTGCACTTCACCGACTTCAGTTCCAATGACTACCTCACTCTGCTGGGCCAGTCGCTACAGGAGCGTTACAATGGCAAACTCGAGGTGGCCGGTGGCCTTGAGGGTCCCTTCATGCGGATGGCCGCTCGGCGACTTGTCCGTGCGGCTGCCGGAAACGGCCCGCGAAATGTGCAAGCGGTACAACGTCTGCTGGACACCATCACTCTTCGCCACATCCAATCGCATTTGGCCGAAGAGGAGGACAATCTGGAAGAGGTCGATACCTTTTTCTTCTCGCCGGAAGATATACTAGGTCCCAGACCGGCCGATGTACTGGCCAAAAGTCGGGCTTGGGCAGACCTGCAAAAGCTTGTTGGTCAGGAAGCGATCAAGGCATCAGTCAGTGAACTGCTGGACACAATTGAGGAGAACTTTTGGAGGGAGGCCCGAAATCAAAGACCGTTCTCCGTTCGGGTCAACCGTATCTTCGTCGGACCACCAGGGACTGGCAAGTCCACGGTGGCGAGGCTGTATGGGCAGGTGTTGGCAGATGTGGGTTTTCTGAGCAGCGGAGAAGGTGAGTTGTCTATATCTGAAACTGCAACGCAGCACTAACAACAAATAGTCGTTGAGATGCGTATCTCGCAGAGACCTGACGTCAAAGACCTCCTGGGTTCCTCCGTCGGCAAAGTCCTCCTGGTCGACGTGTCTGACCTCGATGATTCGTCCCATAGTTTGCTGGACGCTCTCATCACTCAATTGTCTCTCGCTTCTCGCCACGATCGGTGTGTGATCCTGGTTGGAACTCACAGCAGCATTGAGCCTTTGGTTCAGCAAAAGGATATCTTGAAACTTTTCAGAGAGCATCACATTGTTCATTTCCATTCTTTTACGAAGGAGCAGTTGCGGCAGATTCTCGAGATGAAGCTGCACGATGAGGAAGTCCATGCTACCTCTGAGGCTCTGGATGACGCCGTCGAACTTCTCGAAGTTGCTCGCATGCGTAAGGACTTCAACAACGGAAGAGCAATTGCTCACCTGCTCGGCTCAGCTCACTCTGCGTACGAACGCAGCCGGTCCCAGGGTCACGTCGCCCAGTCACAACTCGATCGGGTTCTTGTGCCTGAAAACTTCAAAGGTGATCGTTTGGGTTGCAGATCAAAGTTGGATTTCCGCGAGGAGTTGAAATACACTCTTGTCTCGGAAGATCTTATTACTCTGCTGGAACGCTACCGGCACGACCTGAAGGCTGCGTGGTTGCTGAATGCTGACCCAAGTCGGCGTGTTCCGCTTGCAATGATCTTCAAGGGCGCCACTGGAATTGGAAGAAGAAGCGTCGCACGGCTGATCGGCCGCCTATACTATGACATGGGTGTGCTAGCCTCTGAAAAACTAATGGAGTGCTCTGCAACCGATCTGATCCCCTTGGATGGCCGCAACTCGTCGACTCAAACGCGCTCGCTGCTGGAACGTGCACGTGGAGGTGTTTTGTTCGTGGAAGATGCTCACCGGCTTAGTGAGATTGAATCCGCTGCCCAGACAATCAATGACCTGATTTACCTCATGCCCAAGTACTCGCGCGACACTGTGGTGATTCTGGCGGGATCGGGCCCTGAAATGGACCTGTTGTTGTGCAACCAGCCCCGCCTTTCGAGCCTGTTCCAGGAAGAGGTTGTCTTCAAGAGTCCTACACCCCGTGAGTGTCTCCGTCTGCTTGACCAGCGCCTCGAACAAGAAAAGATTCCTGGCTCGCGGTTTTTCCTCACCGATACTCGGACGGAAACATATCGCGAGTTCACACGCGCCATGCAAACGCTCTCGATGTTCCCTTGCTGGAGCAATGCCCGCGATATTGACGTCCTGGCCATGTGGATGGTGTCTTCTGTTTTGCGCGCAGTCCCGCTGGACGGTGACTATCTCTGTGCTCCCCAATTGACGGAAGAACAAGCCATGGCATGCGTGATCAAGATGTATAACCTCAAGCGTGATCGTCTTCGTTACAACCAGGACCCTAAGGTGAAATCACTGCCACGCAACCTTTCGCAGCCGAGGTCCTCCCCTTCCATCAGGAGCGGCGTCAGGTTTCCCGTCTAGGGATAACTTGACTTCCTCTCCCGACTCATGTTTTATCTCATCTTTCTTTAACGCGAAGTTGTTATGACTTTAACGCGAAGTTGTTATGATGACTTAATGTGTTATGTGTCATGTACCCGACTGTCCTTCATTACCTTGCATAGCGGGAACTCTGCTTTTTCATGCCATGATGTCTTTCGACTCCATGGGGTCAACATTCATTTTTGACGAGTATCACGATTCACATATTTCCTGTTCTGCCATCATATTGATTAATGATGTACTACGACCTGAATGATTGCTTTTGATGATTTATAATGTGTATGAAATGTCATAGTCTAGAGACAGCTATTCCTTCACTCTCTTCCTCCGCGTTCCAATTTAGATCAACCTGTTTCAGTCAGTTCATGGTTTGTTGCTGATTCTACTACTTTCCGCCTGACTTACATCTGCAATATGGTCGTATCCCAGGAGCTTAGGCGCTAAACCTGGATCTCTCCAGGCCAGCGCCTCACCCTCGGGGGTCGGAACCATCTGCATCTTGCGGTCTCTTTCCTCCTGTTCAGGACCATCGTGCAGATGGTAGAGGTATTGTTGCACATTTCCACGGTCTACGACCATTTTTGTCCGCTGCTTACGACACTTTTCAAAGACCGACAGTGCATGGCGCTTGCTTTGCAGGTACTCGGGGGAGGACTTGGTGACACTTAGGCTGTTTGGAAGTCGAGAGAGACATTCGCCAAGGACAGCTCCGTCTTCAAAGGCCATACCTGCCCTGAGATTCTGTTAGATGACCCAGATACGATATGAGAAGTTCATACCCTGATGCGAGATATGGAAGTGTGGCATGGACCGAATCGCCTATCATAACCCATGACCCTGATGGATGCGTCCACTCGTGGTCGCCAAAGCGTATGCATAGTCGCCATTTGTAGACGGATTGACATAGTTTGAGTAGCTTCTGGATCCTTTGACCATGAGCTAAGGTCTTTATGAGGAGGAAAAGCGCATACCGTGGATCCCACCCTTCGAATAGGGTGCACATCTCCTGCACGTTGCCTTCCACCGTCGATGCCAGCGAATCTTCCGGAATATCGTCTGGCACCAGCAAGACCATGTTGAATTTTTCGCCGCCTCGCAGGACATAATTCACTGAACGGTGAGCATAATCCGTACTCCATCGACCGGCGAAACTCACCCGCATGCGCATCCGGTCCAAGCCAGTAGTTGACCTGCGGATCTGTTACGAAGCCTGCCAATTCGGGATCCTTGAGCATCTCCTCTGTGGATAAAAGCAGCCGATACGCCAAATCGCCCGTCTTGATGGGCGGCTCGGGGTGACCCAGCAGCTTCTCGACCAAGGTCCCAAATACTCCGTCGGCGCCAATGACCAAATCCCCCGTCCACTCTCGCCCATCGGCAGCGATTGCCGTGGCGGTCGCCTCGTCGACGCTCACCCGGACATCGACAATGCGCGCATTGCAAGTGAACTGCGCCCCGAGCTCCAGCGCACGATCCAGCAAGCAGCGGTGCAGGTCCGCACGGTGAAAGTCCCGATACCAGGTGCCGGGGTACTGCTTCTCGGACTCGTGGAAGTCCAACGAGGAAATGAGATTGCCCTTCCACCCGAGGAAATTGCAGACACGAGGGCGGGTCATGTAGGGAATCAGCGCATCGTCCAGACCCCAGTGCTGCAGGACGCGGGAGCTGTTGGGGAGGACTTGGATGCCGGCGCCGACTTCGCCGACTTCATGAGCGGATTCGAGGACGTGCACGTCGTGGCCGGCTAGAAGGGAACTGATGGCTGCTCCTAGGCCGGCGAGACCGGCCCCGATGATGATGATCTAGCGGATTGTTAGGGGAAGGAGGCCAGGCACGGAGCGCAACGTAGCGTACCTGCAGTCTACATGACTCTACGCGGGTTTCCTTCTGCTTGATATGGATGGGTGGTGCCATATTTACTCATACCATTTGAATGTAGAATGTATAGACTTGAGTTCAGTGAATTTATTTTCATTGTTACAGTGCGTCGACTTGTACAGCAGGCTTGATAAGTTTGACCCCGCAGCTCAAAGATGGGTTTAGTCTGCGTTATCTTGCAGATGTACTGCATATTCTCCAGTATCGGCTATCTCTCGAAAGAAGTTATTAACAGGCCAGCAAGAGAGGACTGAGCATGAAGATCGATTTACATCATCTACGATCTATACTAACATGTCTCAGGTGCGCCATACCCCTCACGATGGGCTGTTCTACCATACTCACTGATCAGTTCTCCCCAAGAACTGCTCTGGTGATGGGAGCTGCACCAGGACGCTGGAGGATTGGCCCATGCAGAGCTGACGTGGCGATCCTGATCTCTTTGAGCCAGAAGAGGTATTTCACAAGAACCCAACAGGAACCCAGCTGGACTCCCACTACAAGTAAGGGGGTGGCTCGCTTGCAGCAGGACAGCTCATTTCTGATTTATAATAGGATTGGGTGATGGCTCCTTGAATAATCCCTCAACGAATTCGAGAATGCGCTGGTTTTGGCATCAACCACCATCTCCATTTTCTCGAATTTACATACGAGGAACACGGAGTCCACTGTAGTTTAGTTGTACTGGGCGTGCTTTAGGATGATCGCCGATGGGAGACAGTATGGGAGTATTGTGCTGGTGCCAGTATCGCCAGCCACGTGGCCGTTCGGAGTCACTTATGCAGTGCATACTGTCGCTCCGGGCGTGAGGTACGAGCTATGTGTGCTGTGATTGCGAAGGAACTGGAGTCATATCTGGGTATGATCTGAGGAATGGTAGAAGGTAATGCTTGCCGACGGAGTGAAGAGACTCGAGCAATTCTATTTTGCCCGGATATGTGCCATCGGAGATGACAGCATGTGTAGTTTTGGAATCCTGTGTATTCAGCATATCGTCCACTTTGAATGATGATGTTCCCGTTCGGAGGAAAGGTGAACAGGAAGCGATGAATGTGAGAGTGGTCATGATCACGGCGGTTGTTTTTCTGGCTAGTGATGAGCGCGTACAGACGCTCAGGAAGTCAACAGGGAGCTAACATCATGTTAGATAAATGAAACAATTGCGAAGAAGATTGACCATGACAAATGGATAAGCAGGAGCGGGGGTTGGGCGAGCACCTGATCAGCCCATCCGCAGGTGCACCAGTTGACTACTGGGATGCGGAGAAAAATTACCAGGATCTATCACGATGGGATTCACCTACCCACATAATTAGACAAGCTACAAGTGAGATCTCAGAGCATCCGATTGTCCGATCACGACAGCTTCATGGCGCACCTTTCGCCCGATGCCTCCACGACTGTGGTTGTTGTGGGCGCTGGTCCATCTGGACTGATGCTGGCGTGAGTCGACTGCCCCATTCTTGAATCATATCTCACAGTAATAGGTGCAATCTGGTCCGCTACGGAATTCCCGTCGTGATCCTCGATGAGCGACCCGACAAGACATCAACCGGCAAGGCGGATGGCATGCAGCCCAAGACCATCGAGACCTTCAAGCAGCTCCGGCTCGCAGATTCCCTACTTCGTAATGGTGTTCGCGTGTACGATATCTCGTTCTGGGTAGGATTCGTCCCGCAAGAAGGGTTATAGACTGACTGAGTAGGAATCCACCGAAAACACCCCGCTGCACCGAAAGGGTCGACAGATACACTACCCAGATCATCTGGTGGGAGCGGCAGATCCGTATATTCTTCTGGCGCATCAAGGAATGATAGAAGAGGTGCTCATTGGGGATATCGAAGCACGCGGAGCGCGGGTTACTCGCAACAGCCGCTTTGTAGCTTGTTCGCGTAGCCCAGACCGGCAACAGTTGACTATCACTTACGAAGATCTATCTACAAAAACACAGAGGACGATTCGCGCGGAATACCTGGTCGGATGTGATGGAGCGCGTTCCAAAGTACGCGATTTCATTCCTGATGCGCAGCTCGAAGGAGAAATGACGAACGCCTCCTGGGGGGTGTTAGATGGTTAGTATGCGCCCCGTTGCTCCGGAAGAGCACTGACACTGCCTCTCCAGGGGTCATTGATACCGGCTTTCCGGACCTCTGGAGCAAAGTGGCTGTTCGGTCGCATTCGGTAGGCTCTATTCTGTGGATCCCTCGTGAGCGCAATATGACACGGTTGTACGTCGAATTGAGCTCTACTGAGGGCGAGCGAGTAGATAAGGCCAAAGCAACCCCAGAATATGTTATGGCCCTGGCCAAGAAGGCCATGGCACCGTTCAAGCTAGAGTGGAAGTCAATTGGTACGTCAGTAGCGGATAGAGGGCATGAATCAAGTTGACAAGATAGAATGGTTCGGGAACTACGTCGTTGGCCAACGAGTTGCCAGCCACTTCAACGACGAGGAGATGCAAATATTCATTGCTGGTGATGTATGTGTCGTACCTTGCGTTTGATGATGAAGGCATTCTGATCTCCCCAGGCCGGCCACTGCCACTCTGCGCTGGCCGCCCAAGGAGCCAATACCAGCATGCACGACAGTTTTAACCTCGCTTGGAAGCTCAATCTGGTCTGTCGTGGGCTAGCTAAGAAGTCCCTGCTAGCCACGTATGAGGATGAGCGCCGTAAGATTGCAATGGATCTCATTCGCTTTGATGCAGAGCACTGCAACGCCTTTGAGCAAGGTGAGGCCGCGCTGGCCAAGAATTTCGATGACAACATCCGCTTCATCTCGGGAGTCGGCGCAGAGTATTCGACGGGCCTGTTGACAAAGATCCAATCAGATCGAGTCACTGGGGGAGAGCTTCGCCCTGGGGCGCTGCTCGTTCCGGCAAAAGTGACACGATATATCGATGCGAATCCGGTCGATATCCAGCTGGATATTCCGATGCTGGGCCAATTTCGAATCTACATATTGGTTCCAGATATACCGTCCACGAAGAGCTTCCTTGATGCATTTTGCGCTCGATTAAAGGACCCCAAGTCGATATTGGGCCCGGTATCTGCTCTCGCACAGCAGTCATATAACGAGAAACCGCGAGGGAAGGCAGCGTCTGATGATTACATTCAGCCACAAAGATATACAACTGTTTCCCACCTTTTCACACTGTCTCTGGTCACAAAGTCGTCGAAATCCAGTTTTGAGATCAGTGATCTGCCGGACGTCCTGCAGCAGAGCCGATGGACCTTATATGTGGATGATGCGGACGACAAACAGTGTACGGACAGATGGGTGGGAAAGTTGGGTAGTGATCAAGCCGCCATCATCATCGTTCGACCAGATGGATACGTGGGAGCTCTAAGTCTATGGAGGGAGAAAGAAGGGGACAAAGCAGCCGACTGGGTAGAGGAGTATTATGGATCATTCCTGATATAGAGGCAGATACGTAGACAATGTAGCTGTTATTGTCTCCCGCTTCTTATGCCACTGATACAAAGAAAGGAGTCTCGCCCTCTTTCACCGTAACCGTTGCCTTCTTAACTAACGGATCTCCCACAGCCAGGCGTAACCTCTCCGCAGTCGCCGGACTGTCCAGTACCAAAGGTTCCAGCACCTGATGATCTTCCCGAGCACTTTTCAACGCCTCCCGTAGAGCGAATAACACCGTGGATCCCAGAAACAGAGGTGGCTCACCACATCCTTTGCTGCTCTGGATGGATCTAAGATGCTGCCACGAGACTCCCTGCAGGAAACTCACATTGAACTGATGGGGGATGTCTCCGAAAGCGGGGATTTTGTAATTACCAGGCCCACGAGTGGCCAACTGTCCATCCCGACTCCATAGAGACTCTTCCATTGTGAAGAGTCCTTGTCCCTGGATGAACGCCCCTTCGACCTGACCATAGTCGATGGCAGGGTTAATAGATCGTCCCACGTCCATCTTGATGTCGGTGCGTAAGACGGTGTGGTCGCCTGTCAGAAGATCCAGTTCTACTTCCGTGCATGCAACGCCCTACCGAATTAGCATTGTCTCGCAGAGTGGCATTCAACATACCTGTGTGAAGTAGTAGTACATCGGCTTCACCGTCTTCGGATCGTAGTTCCCCCACCGGTACCCAATCTTGGGCATTTTCCAGAACCCGCTTGCTGTCAAGCTAACTCGATCAAAGTAGGCAGCATGCGCAATCGTAGACATGGGCGCGTCTGGGCCAAACTTCTCGCGATACGGCTTCAAGCGCTCGTTGAGTTGATCACAGGCGTCCTTGACCGCCATCCCATTCAGATCGCTTCCGGCTGATGCGGCGGTTGGTGAGGGATTTGCTGTCTGATAAGACGAGGTATCTTGCGTGTAGACGTTCTCAACAGGGACTCCTAGTTCCTCGGCGGCAACCTGCACCATCTTGGTGTAGAGACCTTGGCCCATCTCCGTGCCGCCATGATTGAGCAAGATGGATCCATCCGCGTAGATCCTAACCGACGCGGCGGCCTGGTTGAGATGGAGGGCCGTGGCAAAAGACAGACCGAACTTGGTCGGGATGAGGCAAATCCCTCGCTTCCGCCATCTATGCTGCGCGTTGAATTTGTCCACGGCCGCGCGTCGTTCATCATACCGGGCTTCCCGTCGCACTTGGTCCATGAGCAATGGCACATGCCAGTCTTCGTCGATCTGCTGCAGGAACGGCGTCAGCTGCCCTTGCTCATAGAGATTCCGCCGGCGCAGCTCATCAATCGGAATATTGAGACCCTCTGCCACCGCAGTCATGTAGCTCTCCGCTATGAACATGGCCTGGGGACCGCCGAACCCGCGGAAGGCGGTGTTACTGTGGGTATTGGTGCGACAAACCCAGCCGCGGATATGCACATTGGGGATGTGATAGCAATTGTCCAGATGCGTACAGCAGCGGTCCATCACAGCGCCACTCATATCCAACGAGAACCCGGCATTGTCGTAGCAATCTGCGTCAAGCGCAACTAGCCGGCCGTCGTTCATGACGCCCACTTTCCAACGGCATTGCACCGGGTGCCGTTGGCCTGTGGTCATCATATCCTCGTCCCGATTGAGCATCGCACGCATGGGCCGTCGTTCCTTCTTGGCTGCGATGGCCAGTAGACAGGTCAACTGCACGCTGCGGGATTCCTTGCCGCCAAAGGCCCCTCCCATGCGCTTGACCCGGGCGTTGATGCGATGGCTCGGCACTCCAGTGACCAGACTGACGAATTCCTGTGTCTCCATTGTATTCTGCGTCGAGGACCACACCTCCATCGTACCGTCCTCCGAGTGTGGGATTACCAGCGCTGCATTGGTCTCGAGATAGAAATGCTCTTGGCCGCCTACACGCGTCGTTCCGGTGAAGATCCGGTCACACTGAGCAAACACCTCCTGCATTTTCTCCGGAGGAGCACCCTTTCTCAGCTCCTTGCCATGAGGGAAGAAGCTTCGAGCAGCAATCGCTTCATCAATGGTTATGATCGCCGGGAGATCCTCGTATACCACGCGAACTGCTTTAGCGGCTGCCTGTGCCTGCAGCGCAGTCTCCGCATAGACCAGGCCGATCGGCTGCCCATGAGCCACAACCTCGTCAACGGCGAAGAACGGTTCGTCACGCTTGACAGAGCCCCAGGCATTCGCCTCCGCAGGGATGCTGTGGTGATCGATGTATCCTACCGCCAAACCAGGTTGCAGTGCTTGCGTCCAATCGACCGAGATGATCCTGGCATGAGCACGTTGGGATAGCACCATCGCGCCGAATAGTTCGCGGTGCTGCGGCGGCATGTCGTCCACATACTCTGCTTCCCCGGTTGCGTGCTTTAGCCCGGATAGATGAGGGATCTGTTTGCCGACTACCCGTTGCTCATGGGGGTTTCTGTTGTCGCGTGTCCCGTGGGAGATTTTCCGGTGGATTTCGTCCGTAAGATCTGTGTCGACCTTGCCTCCGATCTCTAGGTCAGAGAGGACCTCGTTCCAGAACCGCACGAAGAACGAGAGTGCCAGGGTCCGTCGATACGTAGCCATGCCACCGGGAACACTGTATTGGAGGTTGAAATCAACCAGAAGGGCGTCCAATGCTTCATCCAGGACCTTGGTATCTCCCCAAGGCTTACCGATGAGAGACTTGCTGGTATTTAGTGCAAGAACCGTGGTAGGAGCCATGCCTCCATATGCTAGAGCAACCTCTTGAACTAGCGCTTGATCATCTAACCTCACGCGGAAACCGGCGGTGACAATGGCAATATCATCATCCTTACGTTTGGCCTGCTTGTAGGACTTTGTGATCTCGCGTGCTTCGGGCGATGGGATTGGAATGCGAATCTGGGTGATTATTGCTCCCTCCGGTAGCGCAGTCTTGCGATACCCAAGAAACATCGAGTCCATAGACTGTAAATGTTCACCTTGTGTTGTGCGCGAGACGACTGTTGCATTGACTGCCAGAAGCAACGGATTCAAGTCCGAGATAGGCGAAGCTGTAGCAATATTTCCAGAAAGAGAGGCCGCGTTACGGATCTGGCGACCGGCAAAATATCGCAGAGCCTTGGCGATGGCCTGAATAACTGACGCCCGAGGTTGCAGCAGGGGAATGAGACGATGACATTCGGCTTCAATGTCGCTCAGTGATGCTGTACCGCCAATGACCAGCTCAGATATTGTTCCAGCTGTGGAGACGGTGCTGATGCTCGATAGCTCCTTGATATCTCCGATGAATATCGACACTGGATGGTGCGCGTTCTTGAAGCGAATATCCACCTGCACTTCACTGGCACCGTTGACCAGAGTGGCCGACGGACATGCCCTCTTGATCTGGATCAGCTGCTCAAGGGTGGTAAGACGTATCCAGATTTTTTGTTCGTTGCCATAGCACAAAGGAAGATCAATGTGTTTGGATAGGCCAGGAGGGTAGATGAGCTCCGTTGTCGGTGTGTACGGAATGAAGTCGAATTGGGGTGCCGATGGTCCTACCTGGGATGACACGCTGGTCCGCGAACTTTGACCATAACTACTCGGACTGGATGGACAGGATGACCCAGGGTTATCACGGCAGCAGCCCCCCGGTCGCCCGCAAGATTTTCCGCTGCTCTGCTCGCACGAGTCAGGAGAGATAGTCAAGTTGCCAGATGTGGTGGGACTGGATCTTTCGGACTGGCGCAACGGAAGCTGCAGATCCTGCTGGATGAACGTCTTGGCTGCTTCTAAAATGGGCTTGTATCCCGTGCATCGACAGAGATTCCCATCCAGATGGCCCTTCATCTCTATGTCATCCTCGCACAAGGTGAACTCGAGTGTATCGGGGTCGAAAGCGTTGCGGATGAGGGCATACAGCGACATGACGATGCCGGGCGTACAGAAACCACATCTACACTGTTAGCGTCTACCTTTTTGTTTTTATTTGCGCCGAAGACGCACTGCGAGCCATGTAACTTGCCCAACCGCTCCTGTAAAGGATGCGGATGGTCGACATTGCCCAGTCCTTCCACGGTGATGACATGTTTGCCAGCCACTGCCAAGTCATTGTGAGTATCGTTTTTGGGACTGGATTCTTATGCTTACCCCCGATCAATGGATACAAACATGCATTCACGGCCAAATGTCGAATTCGTCGGGGATTCCGAATGTCGCGTGTTTGCAAGACAACGGTACAGGTCCCGCATCCACCTTCACCGCATCCCAGTTTCGTACCTTTCAAACCATGCTGGGATCGAATAAAGTCCAGTAATGTCCAATGCGGGTTAGGATTCTGTAGGTCTATCCTTGTCCCGTTGAGATAGAAGGAAAGCGTGGAGGAGATGGGGCGGATCAGTTCTTGTAGCGCGGGATCCGGGTAGTCGACTTCGGCCATCATTCTTCGAGTGCAGAAACATGAGTTCGCTCAAGAATAATACACAGCAGAAAATGCACAGTTTATCTGCCTGTCGGCAGCTTACACAGGCCAATAAGGAAGTGCCAGCGCATAATACATACGAGAAAGGAGCTGATGCTGTTGGTGCATCATCTGCCGTTCTGCATGTTGCCACAATTACCCCTCCTCCAGTTCCGAAAGCAGACAGAGAATCAAGTGCTTAAAGTATCTCCAAATCAAATGGCCAATCGCTATTCTTGATTATCAACAGCAGGGGCACGGTATGGATAGCAGTTACATTACTCATGCATGATGAATAATATGTAGATGATCATATAAATACTACTGGACGGCCTCGATGCAATCGTATTACCACCAAACGAGATTACTACTACATTGGCAGTCTTCAACAACAGTATGGGCTTCTTTCAACTATTGGTACCCTCTTCGAGCTGTGCGCTCGGTTGCGATCTTCTGTCGAGCCGAAAGGTTTTATGTCCCCAATGACATGGATCTGAAATACTACGGCCAGCGCACATCCCGGGACAATTGATGCTCCCCGAAGCTAGCCCCACGACTCATCGTGTAAGTATTATCTGTAAGTACAGTGAATGTAGACTCAGTCGCTGGTATAGGCAGCCGGAATCCCGGGATCCTCGCAGTCTTCCCTCCCTATCAGATACAAACATGGAAAATGTGACCGATGCAGTTCATGGCAAGGGGCCTTAACTTCTGCAAGCTCTGACATGTCGGACGAGCAATCGTTCCCTCCTCCTTTGATGCCCGTCAAGCTGTTAGCTCGAGCGACATTGCAACCAGTGGAAAGATCTAGGATGGAACTGAATACGGCGCATCCTTCTACCCATGGCCATCCCTGGAATTGAGGAACAGTCGAGGAGCGCGCGGCGGCAGCAAAGCGAAGCATGGCAGCAGGTTTTGATGAGTATCTCCCTGCCAAAACAAGGATCGCGTCCAGTCCAGCTAAGCATTTACGAATGATACACCCTCGACCAACTCCTTGATGACAACGTCAACATTAGGACAGACGAGAACTGCCGCTCCATCGCTAACCGCTGCCACTTTGTCCTTGAAGTCACCGAGGCGATGTCCGAGGCCATGGGGCTTACCGTGTAGGCGCTCGTCCCTCGCCCTATAACTAGTTCCAGGACACGCGCAACTCTGACGCCGTTGCGAACGGGGTATATCTCTGCGACAGCATGACCACCCTACCGTCGCCAGCTGTCGGGTCATCCCACCAATAACCGTTTTTCTGGTATTTTCCTCCGATAACAGCCAGATCAGATGGGTCTGAGCATGCAGTCATAGCTACAGTAAGGGACGCCCTGTCTGCTTTGACTGGCTCGATGTCGCCATGATGCTGTCGGCTATGAAAAGCTCAACTGGCCAGTGAGGCTAGATCCAGGCACCAGGAAAGGTGAGACGCATGGACGTCGTTATCTGAGTTGCACAAGGTCTAGGCACTGGCAATGAATCAAAGCGGTCTGAGGACATTAGCTTTATAGTATATCGGCCGAGTGCCTAGATATGGACATTCTCGTGGCTATACTAGGATACCCCAGCTGCGGGCCTTGTAGGTTGCCCGCTAATGACATCCAATACTCTGATATAAAGTTAGTCGTCCTTCTCCTTGAATGATATCACCCGCAAGGTCGTGCGGGGCAATTGAGCTAGGTAAATGCCGCTTCTGCGCTAAAGGCTGACGTACGATATCCTGTCTCGAGATGGAACCCACCCAATAAGCCAAGGGAGCTTGCTACCACCCTCAGGCCAATTGAAGCTCTGAGCTTAAGCCAACCCCATTTTGCATGGTGGAGAGCGATAGGCAAAAGTGGGATAAGGTTGCGGTAGTGGGTATATCCCATCGCTTCTTGAGCCACGATTCGAACCTTGGGCGAATGGATTGGTTCAGGGCTCATTACCCCGCATTTTCATGGCATCTAGCTGGAGAATAGGCGGGGAATGCAGGGAAGTCCGGGGTAAGCACCGTCGAAGATACCTCGGAATAAGGGATGTGGCTACGTTGGACCACTTGGTCTTTGAGCTTCTTTGCATTGGCAGTTCCACAGGGACTAGTGCTTTTCCATAGTTTACTGAACGTAGAGGGCTCATTCGTCGCCGTCACAGAGTGTAGAGTCTGTATACCGAATAGGAAGGAGATTGACTGACTTTACCATGATGCATGCAGACTGTCTGTACGGAGTGATGAGAGGATTTAAACGCAGATTTATCCACGTTTGTCATTCTCCATGCTGAGTCTGCGCTCACCGGACCTGACCTGAGAACCACCATTGACTGCTGAATCTATCAACATGAGAAACCATATGGCCGCGGGGTGGTTCTACTCCCCGAGTCAGATAGGCCGGTACATCGTCACTCGATTCACCAGTCTCAGGCCTCCACGGGTAGGACGCTTATTCCCCATTATATGCGGTTTGATTTTAGCTGAAATATTCCAAGAACAAAATCCGCAATCCTATTTCTGTTCTGCGGGAACTGACCTCCCACCAATGGCTGATGTTCCTTGTTGGCTTCTTGGGATGGACCTGGGATTCCTTCGACTTCTTCACCGTGTCCATGACGGTGACTGAGATTGCAAAGGACTTTGATGTCTCCGTCACCAGTGTTACCTGGGTAAGCCGGTCCTCTTTCAGCTCTTCATAATGCAGATCACTGACATTTGTTGCTTATGTTAGGGCATCACCGTCACTCTAATGCTTCGATCAGTGGGCGCCTTGATCTCTGGTTTCTTTTCGGATAGAAACGGAAGGAAGTGGCCGTTCATAATCACAATGTCAACTTTTATAGTCCTGGAGCTTGCGTCTGGATTCTGTCAGACTCTGCCACAGTTCCTCGGTGTCCGCGCTTTGTACGGAATAGCGATGGGAGGTATAATCGTCCTGATAGACCATATCCCTTGCCGTTCTGTTAACAACTCCGTTCAGGTCTCTTCGGCCCGGCTGCGGCCACCGCTCTCGAGGACCTTCCCTACGATGCTCGCGGAGTACTATCAGGCTGTTTCGAGATGGGATACGCCATCGGATACCTCCTAGCAGCTGCATTCTACCGGGCCCTTGTCCCCACCACTACTCACGGGTGGCGCAGTCTGTTCTGGTTTGGCGCGGGGCCCCCAGTCCTCATCATCCTCTTCCGCTGGATGCTCCCAGAGACCAATCACTTCCAGGTCATGGTTGCCGAGCGCGAGGAGCGCATCCGGCAGGCTCACGCAGAGGACGATCATGTCCGCGCTATGGGCCTTCGGTCGTTCCTAAAGGACTCGGGCACAGCGTTGAAAGAGAACTGGGTGCTGTTCATCTACCTCGTCATCTTGATGACGGGATTCAACTCCTGCTCTCATGGAAGCCAGGACTTTTATCCCACCTTTCTAAAAGACCAAGTCGGTCTCAAACCGACCCAAGTCACGGTCATCACGGTCGTGGGACAAGCCGGCGCCTTTGTCGGCGCCAACTTCTTCGGCTACATCAGTACCTTCTTTGGCCGACGTTTGACCATGATGGTAACCTGTATTATTGGGGGTGCCTTGGTTCCGGTGTATATTCTGCCCCGCGACATGAGCTTGATCGCTACTGTCTTCTGGGAGCAGTTCTGCGTCGGTGGTGTCTGGGGGCCTATCCCCATCCATCTAATGGAAGTGAATCCCCCTGCCCTTCGCTCCCTTCTCGTCGGATTGACGTATCAACTTGGAAATCTTGCCTCGTCTGCGTCGGCTACAATCCAGTCAACCATTGGGTCAAGGTATCCTTTGCCCCCTACTGCCGCTAATCAGAAGCGATTCGATTACGGCAAGGTTATGGGGATCTTCCTGGGAGCCGTCTGGGCATATATACTGTTCTTCCTCTTCTGGGGTCCCGAGATGTCCGCTGAAGAGAGAGAAGAGGAAGCCGAAGCGGCCAAGTACCTGGAAAAACTTCGTTCAGAGGGAGTCAGTCTGGCTGAAATTGGAGTCTTGCAAGTGAGGAAAATCAAGGGACCCGAGATACTTCGAGACGATGATGCCGAGAAAGGGGACAAGGTCGTTACCGAGCACATCGAGTAATTGACAGCGACCATGGGCATGGTACTTCGTATTTGTATGTCCTGTGAGGTCATTGTACAGAGGGAAGTGCGTAAAGATCAGAGTTTGTATCAGCTGTCGAACTAAGTACAGGCTGGTACGGATATGTCACATCGAGAGAATCCATAAACCATTTTGTAAATCATAAAGTCAAGGTATCACAAGCCGCCAACACCTCATTTCACTGGCGAGAGCAACCACTGCTTAGTTTCTGGATCCAAGCATTGTTGCTCTGCCTCCTTCCATTCCTTGATGACCATATCCGCCTTGGCTTGGGACCGTGGTGTGATACGAGCAGGGAACTCCTCTGGCATGCAGACAAACCCTTGAGTCAAACGATCTGCATCGGGGAAGATAGGCTGCCCCTTTTCATCCAATGCTGGCTCCACGTTGAAAGCCCACATCATGCGCGAGATTCCCAAGAACAGGCTGCGCTCGGCAATGTGGATTCCAGGGCAGATTCGGCGCCCAGCGCCAAACGTGAACTGATCGCGCTTGGTGGCATCAGGGTTAGCGGCTGCTTCAGCCAAGGTTTGGCGATCATCTTTGTACCGATCGGGGTTGAACACCCGCGGGTTGGGGTGACGCTTCTCGTCCATGTTGATGGCCCACACGTTGTTCACAACGCCAGCGCCTTTTGGGATGAGATAACCCATGTACTCGTCATCTTGGGTGACGGCGTGCGGCACCGCGCCGAGAATGGTCGTTGGCATCCAGCGCAGGGTCTCTTTCATGCAAGCGCGAACATACTGCAGGTCCTGCTCATCATCCATGGTCGGCATACGGGGTCCCACAGCGCGGTCAATCTCCTCTTGAAGCTTGCGCTGCACGTCAGGGAAGAGGAGCATCGCCTGAACGAACGCATACAGAGTGCTGGAGGTGGTGTCGGAACCGGCCTCCAACAATGTCCCGGAGATGTACGCAGCCTGGTCGTCACTGAATCCGTCCGACTTTTGGGCCTCGGCCAGACCGACGCAGAAGCAGGGCTTAATCCTTCCGTCACGGATATCCTGCTTTGCTCGCAACCAGTGGCCCACGTACAGAGCCTTTTCCCGCTGGTGAAGTTCCTTGGCTCTCTTCTGCGTCGGGAGGAGAAAGTCCGGCAGCATTCTCAACCACGGAAAGAAATCGATAAGGGCAGCTGTTCCCGTCTGGTTTATCTCGGCAAACTCAGAGAAGCCGTCAAAAAGCTGTTTCATTTTCTCGTCCTCGTAGGTCGGTGTGCGCCACCCAAAGACCATAGTGGTGGTCAGGGCATTGGAGTAGCGACGGATGCTGTATAGGAACCGTTCTGGCTGAGTGAGAAACTCATACATCATCTGTTTGTTCTCAAGCATCTGGTAGGGAACATAGGACTTGGCAGCGGTCACGTTGAGGAGGCCATGAACCATTTTTCGAAACTGTAATTTGTCAGGCTCGTGATCGAAACGGTGATCGAAGGGCACATACTCCTCGCCAGACTGGGGTGTATCCCTAGCTTGAGTCAGCACTACCGATGCACTGAGTGATCGGGCCATTGAAGACCTACCATCATAAGCAATCGAAGGCCTCCGCTGCATAGCGTTTGGCCGATGTACATCTCCTGTCTATGCGAGTACATCGCACTTCGCTTATCCAACAAGTCTTTGACAGCCTGATCGCTTGACAGTACTACCAACGTTTTGGTCCCGAGAATCAGACTGTAGACGGGCCCGAATTCCTGTGCCCACTTCTGGAACTGCAGATGGGAATCGCGAGTGGGCATCTGCTGTCTTTGAGTACGGCATGCAGAGACTATATGAACAGGGTATGATCTCACCTGATGGATATTACCTACGAGAGGTAAGGTGGGAGGTCCAGGAGGGTAGTTCTTGGGCCGTTGACCTATGGATAGCAGACGAAACACCAGAAAGACAAGGGCTCCGACAGCCCCAAGGAGCGCTAAAGGCAGCATGGTGTCCGATATACACCTCGATCTGAAGTTAGTTAAATTAATCAATCTACAGGAGTAGCCCTGCAGCGAGGCATAATCCATAGTCGTAATTTATAGATGTGAAATCCGGGGATAATTATCGGTTATTGAGTGGGATAACCCCAGGTCGGAGAGGAGGTGGGGGATCGGATGGGGGGTGGGATGACGATCGGTACATCCCACTCGCTGACTTGGAAATCGCCATTGGTCGCAATACGGTGGCATATTTCAGCGACTATGTTGGAACAGCAGATTATAGTTCACTCAATGTAATAGCAGTGGTTGAGTCGGTCAATCCACAGCGGCGGGCATGTCGCCAAGGTGCACTCTTTGGAATTCCGAAATGAGTTCATTGACTTGGCGCATACTCGTTTGGTCATATTGCGACAAAATCGGGTCACTCTGGTCGCTGTCTTCGAGCACAAGTTCTCCTCTGATTGCCTTGTGCTGCTCTGCCTCCGCTACAGACAGTCGGTCGACTTTGACACTTGCAAGAAGCCAGAAATCGCCCGCGTGGCGACAGAATCCCACTCTCTGCCACATGTTATCCGCGTTCAAATTGCTTTCATCCACCGTTGTATGTGGCAACTGCCCGATGGTTGTAGTTTCATGGAGGTGCCAAATATGCTTGAAATTTTGCAGCGCGGTGTGGGTCCGTAGGAGCAGATGCCCTGCACTGAAGAAACTCTGGTATTGGAACACCAACGAGTGGATACCTGGGAATGTCAGTATTTGGGAGATGAGAGTCCGGCTGTGGAAAAGGCACAGACCAGAGATGATCGTGAAGAGGTTCAAGGGACCCAGGGCCGCCACGGCTTGTTGCATCTTCACTGTCAGGTCGTCTATACACAGCGTCTCGAACAATGCGCGGAAGGAAAACTTCCAACAGAGGCTTGCAGAAGGCATCCAATTCCGAATTGCATCGTAACACTGATCGGCCGTAGGTGCTTGGAAACAAGACTCGGGGGCTGCCACATGCATCTTCATTTCCTTAACAACCATCCGTGGCGGCAAATTGTTGAAGGTGACAAACGCCGTATCCAGCAGGAAGACCCAGATAAAAGTCCTAGCAGTGAAGGTTAATTCAATCACTGTACATCCGCTTCGGTTGACAGTACCTGATCAACTCTTCCCGGGCGACAAAATCGCTCCAGTCAAACTCATCCCTGTGCTTTGCGTTGTAATCGACATGTCGCGCTGTCGTGATATCAAGATCACGAACGGTCTGGTATTGATCAGTATATCGTGCGTAATTCCGGGCTGGAGGCTTACCGAAACGACGGTGCTAAAGCGATGTCTGCGAATACGCTTCTTGCTGGCATCAGTGCCTTCCCAATTTTGGTACAAGCAGACCATGTAAGCGGCCTGCAGAGCCTGCATCTTCTGCCTGTCGCGAACAGGGTGGAACGGTGAGACGGGATCCCGATTGAAGTCCTCATCGGCAAAAGCGGCCTCTTCTACACAATTGAACCACATCCGAGCATTGTCATTATCTTCAAGGTTTGGCGAAACACAGGCGCCTATTTATTCCAATCAGCACCGGCCATTTTCAGATGGGAGAGAGCCTGCCTTACCAATGATGGCCATAGACGCCAGAAGAATTGGCTTAGAGCTCGCCGGGTGGAAACTTGGTCGATGGAGAAAGTTCACGTTTGGAGACCAGACCGACCAGTAGAGCTCGATATACTTCCGGAGACTCGTAGGAGAGAAGAACTGCAGACATAGTTGCTCGATTTCCGGAGACCATGAGATGGCCACACAGCTATTGCGCGGCTTTATCATGACGACTTCTTTTATTAGAAGGAGAATCTGATGTGTCTGCAAGGCCAGCGGGTCATTGAGCCATTGCGACGAGACCCCGTACGAGATGCTGCTATCTAGATTGCTCGATTGGTCCACGTTAATGGCCCAAAAAGAGTCTGTGAGCCTTTCTTTCTCCTCAACGGTATACAGGACATCCAATCTCTGCTCCAGTGTTCCGCATTCAAATGACGATACGAAGCCAGTCMGACTGGTGAAAGCGTCGAGGAAATGGAAGAAGTAGTTACGGTCGGTGCTCGCCAGCGAGAGATTCTCTGAGCCTATATTAAACAAATCCTGCCATGCCTGGTCGGAATATTGCAGAAGATCGAGATCAGGGCATGCGAGTGTGTCAAATGTTGTGCTGTCCAGCCGCTCGACGTCTCCAGTGCGGGGCGTCCACAGATCACCACCTGCTGCTGCCACATTACTACTATCAGCACCTAAAGGAACTGATGTAGAAGCTATCTGCTCGACCGCCTGGGTATCATTGTTCAGTGTTGAATACGCGCACTCCACTCCCTTCTTGGAACAGTTCTGGCATGGTCGGGAGCTGTTGCAAGCTTTTTTTTGACGCGCACAGCGATCACAAGCGCGCTTACGGGTCGCTCCCTGATAAGCGCTAGAAATAATGCGGTCGCATGTTCGGAGGTGCCGTCGCAGGACGTCGGCTCGCTGGAAGGTACTCGGGCACGCCGGACATCGATGGGGCCGGTCAGCGGAGTGGGAATTCCGATGTCGTTGGAGATGCTCCCTTCGCTTGTAGGATTTGAAGCAGGTGGAACACTGATGAGGACTGGTGGCTAGGTTAACATGAGTTGGTAAGGTCTTCATACTGATTCATTGGTCTCATTTTCTTTTGAGATCTGATGCGATGCACAAGAGTTCGCCCCCAGAGGAAAGAGCAGAATATCCGACGCATCTGGGGAAGCTTTTGCGGGGAAGCAGATTGATTATGTAAGGCTAGCATAAGATCAAGCATAACGCCAATCTGACCAATCATAGGCAATATTCGTGCATCTGGCCTAATAATACAGTCGTCGCAGTACTCTGGCGTCAAAACTTGTGCAGTCTGGCTTCATTTTCAGTGAGAAGAGACTTGGGTATCTGCTAACTCTCTTACATAAACCCTTCGGTCGATGCAGGCGTTCTACTTGCAAGCTTGTTGGTTGCGCATCAATTGTAGCGTCCTTCAAATATATATTGTTGTGGATGTGGGTATGAATACAGTCAGGGAAGCAGGCATATATAGGGATGGGATCTCTTTATTTACTATGCATTCTAGATTCAATCTGTGACAGGACAATCGTTCTTGAAGAAATTAAGTTGAATTGCACAAAGGGTATATCGAACTTGTCCTCACTATTGTAGCTATAGATGATCTCTTGAATTTGCTCAGCTTTGTAGTAGTGAACGTCCGCAACTCGGCGAGTGCCACCGGATGCCGACATCTACACAAGTTGGCAAACGGCAAGAAGTAGTAAGCTTGTTCAGGAAGTATCTCAGATTTCACAGCATCTCCTCGTCGGCTACAACCACTTCGACTTTCATCCCCCAGCCGCCCCTCCCTCCGATCCAATTCTTCCTCTTGCCTACCTTGTGGATCTTGCGAATATCCCGCTCCAGTTCGGACTTCAACTGCGTGGGGTCATACGCCACCTTTTGTACCGAGAACTTCAGCTCGATGCCGGTCTTATTGCCGTGTTTGCCCAGATTACTGGCCCATCGTGCCTCGGTTGCGATGCGCGGTCGGGACGGGTCAATCATTCCAATGGGATAGAGTCGGGCGATCACCAGCCCCAGCTTCCCCAAGTATCGGATCCACCAGACCTCCTCGGGGGTCAGCAGTTCCCGCAACCGGAACTTGAAATCCTTCTCCCGCGGGGGCAGTTCCCCCCCATATCGCTCCTGCAGCATCAACGCCAGACACGCGCGGTCCGCATGGGGGATGCCATAAGCGGACGCGAGGACGCCGGCGCTGGTACTGTACAGCGCAGCAGTCGAGGCCAACTCCTTGGACATGGCGGCGTGGACAAACAGCGAATTGGCAAAGGCCTGGATCAGCGTCCCGCGGATCGATGCGGGAAAGGTCCTCTCCTCGGTGCGTGCGGGGATGGCACCAAACATCAGGAAGGCGATCACCTGTGCAGACGGGCGGGCAAATGCGGTGGTCGCTACCTGTAGTGGATCCTGCTGTCGCACAATTGGAGGAATGTCCCGGAAGAGAACGCCTTCGCGGACGCCGCCCTGACAGAAGTGAGCCTCTTTGATGCCGTATGGCACCGCTTTGGCCAACACATTGACCAGGAATGCGACCGAGGGAACCTGTTCGCGACGGCGATCAGAGACACGGAAGATGTCACGGGCGGTCCGAGCGACCTTTTTGAGGACCTCGGTGTTTTCAAAGTCCTCCTTGGGGGCAGAGTAGCCATTGATGATCGAGATGGGATAATACTGTCCGCGAACCTGATGAAGGTAAAGCAAGAGGTATCCCCAACCACGAAATCCTCCCCCCGACAGGTAGAGAGGGAAGCCCCCCTCGGTCCGAGCTTTTTCCACCAATTTATCAGGGATCTCGAGCTGCTCAAAGGCCTTGCGGAAATTGCTCTCCATCTCCCGGCGGAATGCCTCCTCCGCCTGAAGCGCCTCGTCTGGACTCTTCCCCTTCCGTAACTGCCTGAGCTTCAGTGTCAAGGCGGCTGCTCCGTAGGGGAAACTGCACGAGCCCTTGGGGCTGATGCGCACGTTTCCCGCATGCGACACGATCCAGGTCATCTGCATACTCCCTCCCCCCAGATCCATGGCCAGTCCTTCGATGTCGGAGAAGCTACTGGCAATCCCCCACGCACCGATTGTTCCTTCCAGTTCTTTGGGCAGAGTCTCAACCGAGACGTTGGTGGCGCGTCGGATGGCATCCACAAACTCGTTCGCATTGAGGGCGGTGCGCGTGGCTTCGGTCGCGATGATGCGGATGTTCTCCGGGGGGACACCGA